TGGAGCAGTAAAATCTTGAGAATCTGTACCTGATAAACTATAACTGATAGTATATACTCCTTCCTTGTCTGCAACAAGTTTAAAATTGGACTGAGGATGGGAATTGGTGAGATTGTGAGTAGAGGGTATTACTTGCAAGTTATTACTACTGGATAATACAGTAACTCTCAAGTGAGTTTCAGGGTATGCAGTTATATTAAGAAGACGAGAATGCTGGTTCTTTATTAGAATCGGTATAGCTGGAGTGCTGAGTACTCCAATCTCACAAACTGTCCCTCTATAATTATTAGATGAACAATCACACTCAAACGATGTAAGACTGGTGCTATGGCATTGACCATTGTGAAGGCAAGGGTTTGAATCACAAGGAGGTATTACTAAATTTTTAAAGTTACAAGTAAATACAAATTAACTGATCACTTACTTTCACAGGTTGGTGGGTCACTCCAATAAACCTCATTTGTTATATTATTGACTGAACAAGTTTGAAAGAATGGTGAGTCTTCATTCATGCGATAGCCATCAACACACTTTATTTCACATTCAGTAGTGTATGCTGTACCACAGGGCTTTGCACATGTGGATACATGTATGTAAGCATTAGTAGGACGCACTAGAGTTGGACAATGCTTGATAACACAGTACGGCATAACTCCAGTCCAGCTGTGATTAGAGAGACATGTTCTTAAGGAGGATCCGTAAAATGTAAAACCATAGTCACACCAGAAACTACATGTCTCATCAGTAACCTGATCTGGTTTACCAGTGCATGACATGGAGCCATTGAGAGGAGCATAGAGGGTTTCATTACATTTTTGACCTGTGGTAAATATAGAAGCATACACATTATTAGTAATAATAATAAATAGTATGGTATTACATAAATACCAGTGCATCCATGTGAGTTTCCATTCAAATCATATCCATCACGGCAAGTACAATAATAGCTACCAATGACATTATTACAAATGTGTTCACACCCTCCATTAAGAGTTTCACATTCATTAACATCTAGAGCAGAGAATAAAAAGAAGCAGAAATTGAAAAGGAGAACAATGTGAGACATATTACCATGACATGAGTGAAGATCAGATTCAAGATAGTAGCCAGTCAAACAGCTACAACTATAGCTGCCTACACTATTACTGCAATTGTGTTCACAACCTGAACTGCCTTCATCACACTCATTAATATCTACATAAAAAAACAGAAAATTCATAAAAAATCCAACTTTTATTGAAATCAGCTACAAAACATATGAACATGTATTGTGTATCAGGTAAAAATTATTAAAATGAAGAATTCTCTTCCTTTCATTTTTAAGAAAATTTGCCCAAATCCCTGTACTATAGTACAGGGACTTTGGCCTGATTTTTGAGCAGCTTTAAAAATTCGTAAAATATTTCAACTTTAACAAAATCAGTTCAAACTTTCTAAACAACATAAAATCATGTATATGTATGAGATAAAATTATAAAAATGAAGAATTTTCTTCTTTTCGTTTTTTATAAAATTTGCCCAAGTACAGGAACTTTAGCCCAATTTTTGAGTGACTTTAAAAATTTGTAAAAAATCCAAATTTGACTGAAATCAGTTCAAACTTTTTGTATAGCATACCATAGGACACTTTTTTTCAAGGATTGTAAATTTTGTGGATTTCGCAATTTTTTGAAAATTCACGAAAATTACTTCCTTGAAAATAAATTTATTATGGTACAAGATGGCAGATGGCATAAATTTATGAAAATTAAATTCGCAAAATAAGGCAAATTTGTGAAATTAACAGCCCTTGAAAATAAGGTGCCCTACAATATGTACATGTAAATGTATCAAAAAAAACTATAAAAGTGAAGAATTCTCTATTTTTCATTTCTGTCATATACTATAGTTATTACAAGAGCTTTGGCCCGAATTTTTAGCAATTTTAAAAATTTGTAAAAAATATAAAATTGATTGAAATCAGTTCAAACTTTCTACACAACATGACATTATGTAAATGTACCAGATAAAATTATAAAAATCAAGAATTTCCTTTTTTTATTCTTGACAAAGTTTACCCAAAATCCCTGTTGGCCCAATTTTGGAGTAGCTTGAAAATATTGTAAAAATCCTATTTTTAACTGAGTTTGATTTATTTAAATTGTCTTTTGCTAAATTATGATATTCATTTTTGTTAAAATCTTACAATAATCCTAGTTTTTATTAAGTGCAAATTAATATTATCCACAAAATATTACTTGGTACTATTACTCCATAACTGAATAAAACCTTAACAATACACAATTAATTATTATTTTACCATCACAAGAGTAATTATTGTAGTTGAGTCTGTAGCCATCAATACAAGTACAGTAAAAGGAGCCATTTGTATTTGTGCAGTTGTGTTTACAATTGTCAAGATTGTTAAAACATTCATCAATATCTGTTAACAAAAAATTGATTAAAAGGAATCCATGACATAAAATTAACTAACCATTACAATCAAGACCATTTGTTGCCAATAGGTAACCAGATTCACAATAGCAGTGGAATGAACCAATTTCATTGACACAAAAATGTTCACAATTCCCATTATTAGCATCACACTCATTAATATCTATATTGAATTGAAAGAATAGCATAATCAGTAATTTTAAGTTAATACCTGAGCAGTTATAGCTATTATTGTCTAGTTGAAACCCAGGATTACAATCACAAGTATAGCTACCAATATTGTTGACACAAACCTGCTCACAATTATTATTGCCTGTACTGCACTCATTAATATCTATCAATTTTTAAATTTGTTATAAATTATCATTTATGGTGCAGCTTACCATAGCAACTGCGCTCGTTAGGTGCTAATACAAAACCGTTGTTACACGAGCAGGAGTAACTACCATTATTGTTAGTACAGGTTTGATCACAACCTCCATTGTTGTTTAAACATTCATTGATATCTGGAATAAATACTTGTATAAAATCATGGCAAAGTTAAGCTTACCTTGACAGTCATGCTCATCACTTTGAAGAGCATACCCAATACTATAACATGAACAATAATAACTACCAATTCTATTAGTACACAGGTGAGCACAACCATCACTCTCTTCAGCACATTCATTAATATCTGCAATAAAATAAATAACTTAGTATCAATCATAATTATTACCATAGCATATTCTCTCATTAGTAGAGTTAAGTCTGTAACCAGTGCGACAATGACAGTTATAAGATCCAATTGTATTATTACACAATTGATTACAACCATGAGTTGCAGTGTGACACTCATTAATATCTAATTGTAAAGGTCATGTATTGTAACAATTACCAACTTCTCATTACCTGTACAACCAAAGCCATTGCTATCAAGAGTGTATCCAGGATCACACAAACAATGAAAACTTCCTATTTCATTGATACATGTCTGATTACAGCCTCCATTAGAAGTGTCACATTCGTTAGTGTCTAGATGTCAAGTAAAGAAAAGCCAAAATACAAATTTATACCTGAACAATTGTAATTGTTAGTTTCTAAATGATATCCAGTGTTGCATGAACAAAAGTAACTACCAGCAGTGTTAGTACATATGTGTTCACACAAATCAGTTCCACGTTCACACTCATTGATTTCTATCAAATAACATTAAGTGCATAAATATTTATATAGTTGCACTAATTTACCATCACAGTGGTGTAGATCATTGTTTAGTTCATATCCAGTATTACATGAACACTCATAACTACCAACAGTATTAGTACATGTAGTGTCACATCCTCCATTATTAGTATTGCACTCATTAATATCTACATTAATAATTATTGTATGGTAATGATATTCACCAACACATACCAATACATGTCCTATTGTTACTACTAAGAACATATCCAGTGTAACATGAACAGGTTCTTCCACCATTAGTGTTAGTACACAACTGATTACACCCTGAACTGTGTTCAACACACTCATCAATATCTACATCAAAAGAAAAGCATGAAGTTATGAATATTTGTAAACACAATTATTTTTGAAAATTTACCAATGCAAGATATTCCATTTGTGCTTAATCTATAACCATTATCACATGTACAGTAATAGGAACTATTTGAATTGTGACAGTGTTGTTCACAGGCATCAGTGTTAGCAACACACTCATTGTGGTCTAATAAAGCAATATGAACAATATATTGTTAAGAGTTATTTCTATTACCTGAGCACCCATGGTCATCATCATCTAATATGTAACCTTGAATACATGCACAGGTATAACTCCCATTATTATTGTTACATGTCTGTTGGCATCCTCCATTGTTCCTTGAGCACTCATCATCATCTACATAAACAAATATAATGAATCAAATTATTTGTCAAGTAAATTAGTCATGATACTAACCAATACAGGTTGATCCATCAGTATCAAGTACATACCCAACATTACAATCACACACATAACTACCATTAGTGTTAAAGCATGAATGATCACAATCATCAGTGCCGCTAGAACATTCATTAATATCTATATAATGAAAATGTAAAGTAATAATAATTTTCAAAGGATGTCCTTACCATTACAAGCATGATTATCAGTATCCAGTGTATATCCAGTACGACATGAGCATCCATAACTACCAACTGTATTACTGCAGTTCTGAGCACATCCTCCATTATTCTCATCACATTCATTAGTATCTTTGAGTAACAAGATACTGCAATTAAGAACTAAAGTATTTAATACTCACCAACACAAGTTCTATCATCCAGTCCCAATTCATAACCAGTGTTACAGTAGCATACATATGATCCAGGAGTGTTACTGCATATTTGATTGCACTCATTAGTATCATCACTTGAACACTCATTATTGTCTAATTTATTCAGTAAATTATGAATTAACTAATGTATTGCATTTACTGACCAGTGCATGATTTTCCATTAGCACTCAGTGTGTATCCTGTAGCACAGGAACATCCATAGGTACCATTATAATTAGTACAGTTGTGAGCACAACCACCATTATTAGTCAGACACTCATTGATATCTAAAGGACAATGTCAGTGATATTTAATAAGCAACTTTTAGCATCATTATACCTGTGCAGCAGTTACTGCCAGTCCATCCATTAAGACAAGTACAAGAATTAGGAGAATCACATGAAATACAATGATGACAGGAATCATCACAAACAGCTATAATGATTGTCATACTAATAATCCATATTTTATGATTTATAAACTAACGTGAACAGCCATGTTGGTCACCACCAAGAGAATATCCATCAGCACAAGAACAGTTGTAGCTACCAGGAGCATTAGTACAATTGTGTTCACAGCCCCCATTGTTAGTATTACACTCATTATTATCTATCAAAAAATAACAAAATTGTAAAATTGTACTTCAGTCTCACCATTGCAGGTATGATTGTTACTGCTAAGACTGTATCCATTATTGCATTGACAATAATAGCTTCCTACTGAATTAACACAAACTTGATTACAACCACCACTATTAGAGCTGCACTCATTTATGTCTATAAAAAATAATAGATGCGTATTATTTAGAGGATTAGTATATACCTGAACAGCTATGATTGTTGTTTCCTAGTTGATATCCAGTATTACAGGAACACTTATAACTACCAGCAGTGTTAGTGCATGTGTGTTCACATAAATCAGTGTCAAGATCACACTCATTGATTTCTGTTAGTGAATGACACTAAATACTATAAATATTAGTTTTTACCATCACAGTTGTATAGATCATTGTTTAGTTCATATCCAGTATTACATGAACACTCATAACTACCAACAGTATTAGTACATGTAGTATCACATCCTCCATTATTAGTATTGCACTCATTAATATCTACATTAATAATTATTGTATGGTAATGATATTCACCAATACATACCAATACATGTCCTATTGTTACTACTAAGAACATATCCAGTGTAACATGAACAGGTTCTTCCGCCAATAGTGTTAGTACACAACTGATTGCACCCTGAACTGTGTTCAAGACACTCATTAATATCTGTAAAGCAAATTTGGAAGTTCATTCATAAAATGATACAATCTTACCATCACATGACCTTCCATCTGTATTTAGTCTATAACCATTATCACATGTACAGTAGTAGGAACTATTTGAATTGTGACAGTGTTGTTCACAGGCATCAGTGTTAGCAACACACTCATCATGGTCTAAATAAAGCCGTATGAGCCATATATGAACCATATAATATTAAGACTTATTTCTTATACCTGAGCATCCATGGTCATCATCATCTAATATGTAACCTTGAATACATGCACAGGTATAACTCCCATTATTATTGATACATGTTTGTTGGCATCCTCCATTGTTCCTTGAACACTCATTATCATCTACATAAGCAATTACAATAAATCAATTTGTCAAGTAAATTAGTACTAACCAGTACAGGTTGATCCATCAGTATCAAGGACATACCCAACATTACAATCACACACATAACTACCATTAGTGTTAAAGCATGAATGATCACAATCATCAGTGTCAGAAGCACATTCATCATTATCTATCAACACAAAATTAGTTAGTACTTAACTAGCATAAAGTCTTACCATTGCAAGTGTGTTGATCTGAATCTAATGTGTATCCAGATTTACACAAACATTGATAACTACCAACTGTATTACTGCAGTTCTGAGCACATCCTCCATTGTTGCTGTTACACTCAATAGTATCTTAAAATTAAGAGAGTAGATTCTAATAATTATCATTAGTGCTCAGTTTCTACTCACCAACACAAGTTCTATCATCCAGTCCCAATTCATAACCAGTGTTACAGTAGCATACATATGATCCAGGAGTGTTACTGCATATTTGATTGCACTCATTAGTATCATCACTTGAACACTCATTGATTTCTATTTGTATCAGTAAATTATTTGTATTGTAATTACTAACCAGTGCATGATTTTCCATTAGCACTCAGTGTGTATCCTGTAGCACAGGAACATCCATAGGTACCATTATAATTAGTACAGTTGTGAGCACAACCACCATTATTAGTCAAACATTCATTGATATCTAAATTATAAATGAGATCAATAAAGCAAAATAAGATTTTAGCTCAGACCTGTGCAGCAGTTACTGCCAGTCCATCCATTAAGACAAGTACATGAATTAGGAGAATCACATGAAATACAATGATGACAGGAATCATCACAAACAGCTAAATGGTATTACTAAAATAAAATTAGTAAACGGTGCTAATTGTTTTTTACGTGAGCATCCTCTATTATCAAGATCAAGAGTGTAGCCAGTATTACAGGAACACTCATAACTACCAGCATTATTAGTACAGATGTGTTCACAGCCCCCATTGTTAGTATTACATTCATTATTATCTATTAAAAATAAAGTAACAGTCTTATGATGTATACTTACCAATACAGGTGTGATTGTTACTGCTAAGAGTGTATCCATTATTGCATTGACAATAATAGCTTCCTACTGAATTAACACAAACTTGATTACAACCTCCACTATTAGAACTGCACTCATTAATGTCTAAAAACAATAAACAGATACATTGTATTATTCTATGAAATTATCTACCTGAACAGCTATGATCGTTGTTTCCCAGTTGATATCCAGTATTACAGGAACACTCATAACTACCAGCAGTGTTAGAGCATACATGCTCACATAAATCAGTGTCAAGATCACACTCATTGATTTCTATTAGTGAATGACATTAAATACTACTAGCATTAGTTTTACCATTGCAGTTGTGTAGATCATTGTTTAGTTCATATCCAGTATTACATGAACACTCATAACTACCAACAGTATTAGTACATGTAGTATCACATCCTCCATTATTAGTATTGCACTCATTAATATCTACATTATTAGTTATTTTATAGTAAGGATATTCAGCAATACATACCAATACATGTCCTATTGTTACTACTAAGAACATATCCAGTGTAACATGAACAGGTTCTTCCACCAATAGTGTTAGTACACAACTGATTACACCCTGAACTGTGTTCAACACATTCATTAATATCTATTTGGACATTAGAAATTATATACTTAATACATTAATTTAACTCAACCATTGCAAGATCTCCCATCAGTGTCTAGTCTGTATCCATTCATACATGTACAGTAGTAAGAACTATGTGAGTTGTGACAGTGCTGTTCACAGGCATCAGAATTAGTAACACATTCATTATGATCTACAGTTATACATTGTAACAGTATTTATTTAAATGAATTATACCTGAACATCCTAATCCATCATCATCTAGTGTGTACCCAGTAATACAATTGCAAGTATAACTTCCAACAGTGTTGTTACATTGTTGTTCACACCCTCCATTGTTGCTTGAGCACTCATCATCATCTATTGTAACAACAATTACTAATAGTAAATTAGTCATGATACTAACCAATACAGGTTGATCCATCAGTATCAAGTACATATCCAACATTACAATCACACACATAACTACCATTAGTGTTAAAGCATGAATGATCACAATCATCAGTTTGAGAGGAGCACTCATCATTATCTATGACAATAGTAGCATACAATCAACAGCTTTAAAAGGATGTCCTTACCATTACAAGCATGATTATCAGTATCCAGTGTATATCCAGTACGACATGAGCATCCATAACTGCCAACTGTATTACTGCATATATGAGCACATCCTCCATTATTCTCATCACATTCATTAGTATCTTTGAGTAACAAGATACTGCAATTAAGTACTAAAGTATTTATTACTCACCAACACAAGTTCTATCATCCAGTCCCAATTCATAACCAGTGTTACAGTAGCATACATATGATCCAGGAGTGTTACTGCATATTTGATTGCACTCATTAGTATCATCACTTGAACACTCATTATTGTCTAATTTATTCAGTAAATTATTAATGAACTAATGTATTGTATTCACTAACCAGTGCATGACTTTCCATTAGCACTCAGTGTGTATCCTGTAGCACAGGAACATCCATAGGTACCATTATAATTAGTACAGTTGTGAGCACAACCACCATTATTAGTCAGACATTCATTGATATCTAAAAAAGGTAAAGTGACCAAAATGCCTAGTAATCAATTACATATTTGTGCACAATTGTAATTAAATTCATGTAATGAGAGCGACCTCAGGTCATCATGCTATTTATAGGAACAACTACAGTAGCAACTGTTTCTATAAATAGTATATAACACGAGAGGTCATGCAATACCTGTGCAGCAGTTACTGCCGGTCCATCCATTAATACAAGTGCATGAATTAGGAGTATCACATGTGATACAATGATGGCAGGAATCATCACAAACAGCTATAGCAAAAATGATAATATTAATGCAAGTATATAGTTTTAATATCATTACGTGAACATCCTCTATCATCAAGATCAAGTGAGTAGCCAGTATTACAGGAGCATGTGTAGCTACCAGGAGCATTAGTACAGGTGTGTTCACAACCCCCATTGTTTGTATTACATTCATTATTATCTAATACAAATTTCAAAACTACAAATGTAACTCATTAATGTCTTACCTATGCAACTATGATGGTCACTGATACTCAGTGTGTAGCTTGAATTACACTGACAAACATAACTACCAACTGTATTCACACAAGTATGATCACACCCTCCATTGTTAGAATTACACTCATTCTTATCTAAATTTTAAATATACATTTACATAATCCAATTACGTCATTGAAAGTAGTTTATATTTTACCTGAACAATGTCCTCCTGCTGTTAGCTGGTATCCAGAATTACAAGAACAACTGAAGCTTCCAACAGTGTCAGTGCAAGTGTGTTCACATCCACCATTACCTTGATTACACTCATTGATATCTATGTATAAAAATTTTGTGGCATTATTATCTTAATGTTACATACTGTCACAATTTCGTTGGTCACTGTTGAGACTAAAACCAGCATTACACGTACAGTAATAACTGCCAGCTGTATTCACACAGTTATCTTCACAGCCTCCATTGTTGGAATTACATTCAACAGTATCTATAAGCTTAATGATGACTAGTTAGAGCAAATAGCATCATACCAGTACAGCTTTTCTGATTGCTGTTTAATGTATAACCAGTATGACAAGAGCAAGTATAGCTTCCAACAGTATTAGTACACACTTGTCCACAACCTCCGTTGTTAGTTGCACATTCATTGATGTCTATCCAAAAGAACTGGCTGTCACTATTGAGTATTAGATAGGCTTACCATTGCATGTTTTTCCATTACCAGACAGATAGTAACCAGTATTGCAGCTACAGTTGTAACTACCAGCAGTATTAGTACATACTTGAGTACAGCCACCATTATTAGTCAGACACTCATTGTTTTCTTGATATCAGAGTACACAAAGTAATTTTTTGGAGTATTTTATCACATACCTTGACAAGTTTTTCCATTTTGATGAAGGGTATAGCCAGTATTACAGCTACAGTAATAACTTCCAACTGTATTGATGCATGTGTCACTACAACCACCATTGCTAGTGCTACACTCATCAATATCTGTGATAAATTTGTATCATATAAACTATTAATAGTAGTCATTATTAGTACCAGAGCAATGATGTCCAGAGGCCAAATATCCAGTGTTGCAAGAACATTCAAAGCTACCAATTGTGTTCTTACAATTGTGTTCACAGCCTCCATTGTTATCATCACATTCATTAATATCTAAATCATAATTGATTTAATCATTAAGTAATTTATTTTGTAGGTTTACCAGTACAACTCTTTCCGTTACTACCCAGTGTGTATCCATCATTGCAAGAACAGGAAAATGAACCATCAGTGTCATGGCAAACTTGAGCACATCCACTTGATCCATTGAGACACTCATTGATATCTGTATCATTCACTGAATTAACATACAATAGAATGAAAGAGCTTACTATCACAATCATATCCATTTGAATTTAGTGTGTAACCAGTATTGCATTGACATGTTCGACTGCCTGGTGTATTAATGCAAGTTTGATCACAACCTCCATTGTGTTGTTCAGTGCACTCATTAATTTCTTTAAATTAAAAATATTAAGACAGTATCATTAAAAGGTGTTGTAAACCTCGGCATGTTATTCCATTAAGTAGAAGCTCATAGCCAGTCCTACAGCTACAATTATAACTACCAATTTCATTATGACAGTAATGATCATCAGGGCAGCTATCAGTACCAGCAGTGCATTCATTAATATCTACAAAAATACCATTAATGTTAGCATTACAAAAATGGTCATAAATAACAATACATAACTTTGTAATGTGATTCGTAAAATCATGAATTAAAAGTATGTAATGGCATGACATTTCAATAACATGAATTTCATTAAATATTGCAACAACAAAGTCATGAATGCTATTTCATAAAATGAATCAAATTATTCTTCATGCATGATGAAATCACAATGAGCAAATATTGACAGATTTTAAATGTATTGGCACATTACCTGTGCATGAATGACCATTGCTGGCAAGACTATACCCTGAATTACAGCTACAGGAATAGGTTCCAGCAGTATTGTGACAATTCTGATCACAGCCACCTTTATTACTTGCACATTCATTCTTATCTATATTTATTAAGTTTAATACATCAAAAAGCTCTACTGTAATATACCTTTACATCCAGTTGAATCATACAAATTAAAACCAGTAGGACAAGAACATTTATAGCTTCCCTGATTATTAGTACACTGATATTCACACCCTCCATTATAACTTAAGCACTCATTGATGTCTAAAAAATTGAAAAACTTTGAATTGGACTGATATTACTATTGGTCACCTGCCTCACAGTTGGGACATGGCACAAGATAAATAGACTACTTATATATATAGAATTGAGTTGTGAATTTAGCTACTATAAAATGCACTAAGCTTAATTTTTTATGCACATGCAATTTAGCACATGATTTATACCTGTACAGCAAGTCGTAGTATTATACCAACCAGGATTACAGGAACTGCAAACATTTGGTGAAGCACAAGTAGCACAGTTAGCCTCACAGGTACCAGAACAGCTTGCTATAAAAGACTGAACTTGCAGTAAAAAAACTGTGTTGTCTTACGTGTACAGTATGGAAAGTATCCTACATAGCCTGTACAACAAACAATAACTGGGTATGCCTGGTTTTGATATCCTGTGTTATACACTGTTGTACTCCTACATAAAATATATATAGTTATCATAAATCCATGTCCCCAATAATTTAACCAAGAAGAAATGTAAAAAGAATACTCTTGGGTACTCCATTAATTCAATCCCTACCTTTTATTTATCATAAAAGATTAGAGGATTAATGGAAGGGGCTCTATTAAATCATAGATCTATACTTAAATCATGTCAGTTCCCATGCTCTTACTCTAAATATTTTAAACAAATGCTTAATTAAGATCTCAGTTTACAATTATATGTAATTCTACTCGTTGCATGAACTTATGTCTGTCGCTGATACAACTCATGACTGAGAGTATGAGATGTATGCTTGCTTCTTACACTGTTCTACTTCTTGTTCTACACCTGCCCCACCAATTGCATGTTCTGTAGTACTGTTGTTGATATACAGTAGAGGCAACAGAAACAGATACCTTTTGGTACCTTGTTTCATAGCAGAGGTTGAGACTACAGTGGAAGAATTGTCATTAACTTAGTCTATTTTTAGGGTATATTCTTACTTTGGGTTAAATCCTTGTACATTCTTTATTGCAATGAAATACAAAAGGAAGAGTAGCAATGATACTTTCAAGTGATCCATTACTGTACTGTCTAGCTTATACAGTTCTCAGGGCGTGGTTAAAGCACGTGCGCGCACTCGCGCAGTGACGATTTTATACATGTTTACATGTATGACCAAATATGGTATGACATACTTTGCATAGAATAAATACGGCATATACAGTATCTATGTACAGTATTCATGACAGGAGTGCTCTTGTTTAATTTATGGCAGTGTGTTGTCTAACTCACTGAGTTATTAATCACTAGTCACATTATGCACATATATAGCTCTAGATCTACATGATGACTCTTCTTTAGGCTAAAATTGAATAGGCCAACTGTATTATCCTTTTAAAAATCAAATTATATATATATATATTTTTTACATTTTAGGTTTTAACTTTATGTCCTCAATTCTTTTAAAGTATAAATTAGTGTGAATTCCTAAAAGTACATTACTAACTATAGTATAGTTCTTGTGGGGATGATAGAAGATGATCTTACTTCTGTTATTTCTTCTTTTTATTTCTGCAGGCTCTTCAAGTAATTGTCACATTGTTAATGCTGTAATTTTCTTTTTTCATAGAAAATTGTGATAGGTTCATGGACTTATCTCTGGTATCACATAATGCACAAAATATCAAGAGTACAACAAATGTAGAAATAAATCCTATGAGGCGCCAAAGAGCTTTACTGGAATACGAGTTCAATTGTTCAAGTACTACCATTACCAGTCTTCTCCTAGGCATTGATGTGCATACAGCTACTAATACCCGTAGTCTCTATCCTAGTGTAAATGTCTATAGACGTAGTGGGAATTATTATAATGCTATGTCTGGTAGTACAAGGCATATCTATTATTCTACTTCAAATGTGAGCACTAGTGGAGTCTTTGAATATCAACTCATTCCTCCTCTATCAATAATAAATGGAGACCTGTTAGCTGTATCACAGCCATCAAGCGACTACAGTGCAGTCACAATTAATTATTTGGCTCGTTCAGGCATTTCATTTATGAGCAGTCAAGAAATGGCTCTTAGTTCTACTCAATTTTCTTCATCGGTCTCTGATGCTACTGACAAATTTATTTTAGTACATCCAATAACAGGTAATAAATTATTTGAATCAAGCCTATTATTATTTTATGAATAGATGGGTACTGTGTTAGGAGTTCAAACTCAATCACTGCTTCAGTTGTTCGTGAAAATATCTTTAAAATTCGTAGACCACAGCAAATGTTTTATGGATATCAATATTTATATCCTGATATGATCTTCTCCTGTAATGGAACCATCAACAAATGGATATTTGGTGCAATTCGTAGATCAGGGTTTCGGCCACTCGAGTTTCAAATATGGCACCAAATAGGACCAAGGAGCTACATTAAGACCAGGTTTAGTTCAGTGACTACTGGAACAAAGATTGGTACTAATCTTTATGAGTACATCCCTCGGAATCCACTTGTATTTCATGAAAATGAAATGTTTGGTGTTTATGTTCCTCAGTTTTATTTGAGTGTGTCAGTGCTTTATGAGCAACATTTAAGTGGACCAGTTAATCTGCGTGTTCAAACTAATCAACCTTTATCTACTAGAAACACTGCTTTTTCAACTGTTTTATACAATGATTTTCCATTAGTTACTGTTGAATATGGTAAATACCTATTATTACTATAGAACATATTAATCATTATATAATTATAGGTACCATAACTAGATCTAGTCATTCGTTTACATCAAGCATTAAAACTTCTGATGCAACAAGTCATTTGATTGCCACATCAAGCCACATGAAGAGTTCTGATACATCAAGTACAAAAACTAATGATAGATCTATATCATCTAATAATTATGGTATTAATAAGTACATGCTATAACACCCCAGTGAGAGATATATCACATTTATACATCCCTCACTGGGGTGTTATAGTGGATTTAGTTCCTATTGTGATAAACTCTGTTATAATATTTATATCTTTGTCTTGAAGTTTGTTACAAATATGAAACATGCATCGTATTCATAGCTAAATTCATCTAACCATAGATAATAGAGATTATGTAACCTAATTAGGATACGTAGTCTAATTAGGATAACCTAATTAGGATACGTAGTCTCTAATATCTATGATCTAACAACTTATAATAATTCATTTTTTACTGTTTTTATAGTTACTAATTCTGCTTTTGAATATACTATTCTGCCTACTTCAACTGCATCTGTAACCCAAGCCACATTCAATTCCATCATAACAGGCTCTCCTATTCCTTCACCCACCACTTTATCAACCACTGCAATTCAAGTGTATACCAGTTCATTAAACATTATTGATCCAATTTCTAAATCCTCATCAAGCATTCCTGTTTCTTCCATGGCTTCAAAAAGTCACAGTTCTTCTATGGCTCTGACAACAACTCCTGCTTCTTCTGGATTAAACTTTTCAACAATGATACTTCCCCTAAGCATATCTGTTGGAACCATTATTGTTGTTTTGATCCTTGTGCTTGGATTGCTCATTACTGCCGTTGCCTGCTTTTTCAAGAGGAAAAACAAGAACAAAACTGTAAAAGAAGCTACTGTAAAAGATATTGAAGATGATACCTATGCTACTGTTGACACCATTTATCAAGAAACATGCTACACAGATATTGAAGAAATTTATGATGAAATCAATGAAATCAATTTTAAGGGAATAAGTGCAACATAGAGTAATAGAAATCCTACCAAAAAACAATTTTTAGAGACTATAGTGATTAGTAATTGTGTTAGTTTTACATTTTTAGTTCTAATAAAAAATTGAGATTTTAGCTAATAAAGGAGAAAGAATCGAATGATCTCATAAAGAGCTTTAATGAATCTGTAGTCAGTCTGACTCAGTCATATAGCTAAATTTAATTATACCAGCATGCATGGAAGTAGTTGTAATCATTTTTAATCTCTGTAAAATTTGGGCCAAAATTGAAGTAAAATTTCATTTATTTAAGGATATACATGTACGTTTGTAACACTACTGAATATTGACACTTACATTATACATATCTTATTATTAAACACATTCAGTCATTACAATTAAAAGAATTGTTTCCATTCATTTGATGATTGACGGTTAAATGATTGACATCTTTTTGGTTTGGTGCGCTTGACAGAAGGTATCATCTTTGAAGGACCGTGCACAACTTTGTTCCTCCTTACAAACACCCCGAACTTCTCTTTACATTTAAAATAGGCAACACCACTGACACTGCCATTGTTTTTACCTGTATTAATACAATTAATGTACTTAAAATATCATTTTAAGGACCTTGTGGTTTATCCAATTCTATTCCAATCCATTCACCAGAAGCAAATTTTGTTTTCCCAATAAACTTAATTGTTCCCATTTTGAAAGTGCCAGAGGCTTCAACCATTACCTACATGTAGCAAAAGGGCATAAATTGAAGTGTACAAGCAAGCCAATCTCAATGGACCTTTTCTTCCAGTTTTAGAGTTTCTTTGTCAGACGATGTACTATCACTCAAATGGCATGACTCATCATTAATACTTGAAGAGGTGTCATCTGTTAATCTAAAAATTTGAACTAATTTAATTATAGTAAGGTATAGTAAGATACTTGTCGATATCCAAATCGCTATCGCTTTTGTGCTCTTCTTTTGAGGTTTTCAAATTAAAATTTTTGTCATCATCTTCTGTTATCTCACTGTCATTAACAAAACTATCTTGAACTGCTACAGTGCTCCCTTTACATTCTTCTACAGCAGGTATTTCATTAATGCCATTTTGATTTTCTGAGCTGTTGTCATCATTAATAATAATTACTGGTCCCTTAATGAGATCAGAATTTTCTTCAATACAACCAACAATGCCTTCTTTATCTTCTTGAACAGCAGATACAATTCCCTCAGCATTTTGAGTTATAGGGACATCAATAACTTCATCGGAAATACTGACAGCATCTTCAGTAACATCATTTACAATATCAGAACTATAGGTTTCATCCTATAGAGTAAAAAGTAGTAATACTTGATTGCAACCTTGGTGTCAAAAATCCTTCATAATTGCTGAAAACACATATTAAACAAACAATCATCACTAGACATGCTCATTTACATGTACATTATAATGTACCCTATTTAATACTTACTGCCCACCTGTTGTATAGCCGTCTCTTCAGTAGCTATAGAAGGGTTGATTGACTCTATCCCTTCATCATCCTTGTTTGAAATTGACGAGTGAACTGAGGATGTAGATACTGCTAATGACAAATTCATATCTTTAGTTTGGCTAATCAAATTAGGTGGGCACTTGTCAAGATCAATTGTGGGTCCATCAGCAGCCTACACATAAAACCATTATTATACATGCATCAATATAATGCAATTTTATTTGAAATAAGTGACAATCAAAATAATCAGTGTAAGTTGAGCCGCTTGCAACACATTTTATGGAATCAAAAATGCAAAAAATTAATCTATTTTTGAACAATAAATTTATGTGTAGAAGTATTACTACACCAGTGAAATAAAATAATATGGTACACATGCCCATGCTGCTAAAGTAAAGGTGTATGCAAAAGTTTGTAAAATTAGAGTAGATATGGATTTTGACCTCTTGTTGAGCTGGTTCTGTATCAGAATTTTCTTTATCAATACTTATGGCAGCACTTTCATTACTCTCTTCAGATTTGAACTATACAAAAAAGGATAAAAATATGATAGCTGTATGTTAAATATGAATAGCCAGGCGCCTTTTTTTCAAGGGCTATAAATTTCACAGATATCGTGATTTTGAAGATTTGCAAAAATTACTTTCACAAAAATCAAATTATTATGATAAAAGATGGCGACGGCATAAATTTGCAAAAATTAAATCCAAAAAATAGATTTTTAGGCAAATTCATAAAAATTTACAGCCCTTGTCGAAAAAAAAAGGCATTCTACAGTAGTACACAAAATTTTTGAGTAACTTTAAAAATTAGCACCTACTAGAATTAAAAAGGCATACAAGGCTAGCCCTTACTATTGCATCTGTTAGCACATGTGCTTTATCTGAACATTCTGGTGAAGACACAACTTCCATTGTGTTCCCTTCATTGTTCTCCAATACAATTTCCTATAACATAGAAATATAGTATTAAGGCAGCTTGAGACATGTCACTACCTCATCAATGACTTTATCTTCCACTGTTTCAAAGTCATTAGGCGTCTCACTATTCTCAGAAGAATAGTCACTAGTAAATTAGTAATCATACATCTGCCTTTAAGCTACATGCACTTACTCAACAATTGTAGTTACAACATTTGATGGTAGTGGTAGCCTATTTTGTACACTCTTAGTGCTTCTCAGCCTCCGTACCAGTGTCACTTTGATACCACCACCATTCTCTACATCATCCTCATAATCACCATCTCTCATGAATATGCTCGATTCTGATATAGAATCTTGCATAAGATCCAGGTTTGTTGCAATAGGAGCTTTCCTAGGCTTTGTAATGAAATGCTTCCTCAATCCTTTACCATCCAATGATATACTCTCCATTAGAAATACTTGCTAAAATGTAATGATGTAATGCATTACAGTCACATGAAGCATACTCACCTGTTTTAGGCGGTCTAGTAGTAAGGCATCACCAATACGTACCAAAGTTGATTTGATTTTGTCGATGGCATTATCATCTTTTCCGAGCTCAATGAATGTAGGATTTGAGATATCATTCCTAGGTTTTTCACTGGAGAATGCACTCTTTACTATTTCATATGTCACACCACATTTTGTTCTGAGGCCCTACAAATAAATAAAACCTGTTAATTTCAAGGCATTGGCATGCGTAGCTAACTGCTCTTGTAAATGTCTTTGAGAGAGACACCCCAAATCCACCTTTCCTATAAACTTTTAAGCAGATCTTTTTCTTTAGTTGGAGGTTAAAGGTAGGATGATCATTGAATTTAACTGTTACATGAACGACAGCAAATATCCTTTCATGAGGCTGTGAGACTTTATTGAGACACTGATGAGCTGATGAATCCCACGATACAACTGTACTTAGCTAAAACAAAAATAGCAATTATATAAATGTTAGAAAAATACTATCTTATGCATTTGTGATTGGGTTCTGCTTTATAAACCAATTACATACACAGATGAGAATTTGTGAAATATAATATACTCTCATCAATAAATCATCTTGTAGACAGTATATCCTCTTCCATGCTATGGGCTATATACCTCATTATCATTTCTCTTGATAATTGGTAAGGATAGTACATCATCTCTATTGTCTTCTGTACCCTCTTTCTCACTGATGATAAAAATAAAACACATAGTTGCTTCATCATTATTTATTATTACAATCATGTAGTGTAGTACCTGCTACTTGGGCTGATAAATAACAAAGGGATCCTTTTCTCTAGTCCTGGAAGAGGATCAGTGTTTAATGCTGGAGCCATACATTGAGGCTAATGACATAAAGATGCAATCAAAAATAATGCAATTAGTTATCTCACTGCAATCTCAGGTGTTGATTCAATAATGGAATGTCTTTTTAAAACTTTCTCTGATGTACCAGTACTTTGATACTTCACTATATCATTCAATGTACTAAGAGAAAAATACATTAGTTAGCATCTTATGAACATAACTATTGTATGTAATTTAAAAAAATTAATTTAAACATTTCTTATGCTTTCAAAGGTAGCTGCTGGCTAACCTTTTACCATTTACTTCTTGATAAGTGTCCAATGACGTTGCATTGTGACTATGAATAATTTGTAAGTCACTTATTGCTACACTGGATATTGCAGCACTAGTAATTGTACTAGTATTATCATTTCCCATTTCTTCAACAGGTATCACTTTAACATGAATACGATGAACTTGACCCTAATACTCAATCAAATAATGATGAAATAAAAATCAATTACTTACTTGATGTATTCTATAGATACCACCTGTTTTAACATCTTGTTTATTTTTCACTTCCACTGGCACGAAATCACCATTATCATTCAGTTCCATAATCTCTACCCAAATTTCTAATTTCTTTGGTATGTGACATTTTTTCTCAGATAACGATTCTACAAAGTAGAATTTAGTATAACTTACTTCTTTTAGCTATTTCTAACTAGTACAAGGTTATTAAAGCATTGTACACTGTAGTGGTAAAATTCTAATTATTATCATTATTTGGCTGACAGAATTAATTAATAGTTTAATACTACATTGACAAACCTTCAACAATGAGGGTACTTGGTTCCAAACTTCCCCATACTTGAATGCCCAATGTGTCATTCTCAATGAATTCCATCAATTCCTTATTTATTTTGAATGTTTGCGAGTGCTGAAATTGGTGGATTCCATTCCTGTACTCAAGTGAAGGAACAACACATTTCTCATCTCTTTCCAAGAACTGGTACAGACAGCTAAGCTCATGGGAGTAATTGATTGGAATACCACTGGCTTCCATGATTGTAAATTTGGCTGTAATATCATTCTTATCTGATTTAACATTTGCTCCAGGGCTGCAATTAGAGCCTACACTCATTTCTGATGCTATTAATGAATTATTAGCATAATTAGATTATAACAAAATTAACTCACATGGTACACATTCTAATCTCAATTTCAATTTCCCAGTGGTCTAATAATAAGAATATCAATGCATTATAAAGATTCTTTAATTATACCTTTCCCGTCTGACTGACAATAGGTGCATCCCACACAAAAGGTGTATCATAGGCTAGACATTCACAGGATATATTAGCAATCCCCAATAGAACTTGGTTTTTTTGATGTAAGGAAGAGTCAAAGAACTTGTCAATTCTGTAATCCTATCATAAATATAAGTTTGACAAAAATAATACCATTTTTATAACTGCTTAAATTTTCAAACCTGTTCAGATTTTATTCTTGATATAACCTCAGCAAAACGGCTCAGTGAACAGGTGGATTCATAATTTCTCTTGCTATCAGTAATCTTAATGAATACTATGTCACTACTTGTTGAAATATCTTCTTTAGTCCTGTGATGCAGACTCAAAAATACTTTGGGAATCTAGGCAGGTAAAATACAAGCAATGAAGCATTAAGTAAAAGTATATGCATGTTATACTAATAATGTATGATATCTTACAGTCAATGCTACTTTGAAGGCAGCAGTTTGTGAGTCTGACAATGAAATGGCTTCACTGATGAGCTGATGTGCCAAAATAGCTGACTGGATTACTCTTTCTTCATTATGAGCCAACCAATCATCAAATGCCCTAAAAGGATTATTGTCAGAGTCACTCGTGACTCTTAATGTCTAACCTCACTATAGGAGAAGACCTTTCTGTTAAAGACAGCAGCAGTCTTGAATCACATAATACTACACAAAACTTAAAGTCTTACTTCAAGTCATAAATACCTGGGATTTGTTCTTCCTCAAACGACTTCACAGCATCACTTATGCTTATGTCATTACTACATTCCAAATCAACTAACTGGTCATTAATACATAACAGAGGGCTCAGAAATGAGTCTTTTTCCCCCTCAGATTGAGACCTATCGTGAATAATAAAAATATATACAATATAGTGTTTCTCACTTACATGATCAGTAGTTGTCTTGCTGTGCTTCTTCTCTTCCTCTAGTGGTTTATACCACAAAGAGACACTCCTCAAACCAACAGGGAATAGAATTATTAGGCATACATGTACACACAAACACACCACTAATAATTAAACACTTAACCACTTCACATAGTTAATGTCAATGAGACTATCTGAATTTCATGAATTTTATTGTCCTGGCTTTGTCACCATTCAGTCACTGACAGAGCATATGTAAATGCATAAAAGTATAGCCTTAGGCTTACTCCCTATGTATGAGTGATCAAACCCATAGATACGTCTAACCATACTTCTGATATACAGCCTAACAGGTGGATCTAGTAGTACATTCTAGGATGACACTGTGTGCTTTGTATGGTTTCTCAATTTTGTATAAAATATCCCTGCTCTACCCCAATAGCTAGAGTAGTATAGCACTTAGACAATAGGCCCTGGTACAGTATTGTGCATTGGCTCATAAAGAGCAGTTTATAAGGCATGGATAGAAAGGGATCACTGGATTCTGCTACAGCTAGTGGAAAAACTATAATACTCAAGAGACCAAGATCAAGTTCAAGGTCAAGATCTGCTTCTCCTTCTCACATTAGCTCAAAAGAAAAACCAATACAGAGTCAAGCTTTAGTGGAAAGTTCTGAGTCTTTAAGTACACTACAAGTACCAGAGAGACACACACCCCAGCCAACTGAGCGTTCTGTAACACCTCCATCACCATCAGTCTCACCTCAACTCCCTCCATTGTATGAGCAACCACTTCCATTAGTAATTGTTCCTTCAGTAGATGAACCTCCTCCAGAGCAGGAGCCACCACCACAGAAACCTTCAACTTCTCCATCTCCACCAACAGGATCCCCTTCATCTCGGTCTCCCTCACAAAGAGTTTCATCTCCTTCTCCATCACCAGGGCCTTCCCCTCCACCTCACTATGAGCCAAGGTCTCCACAATCCTCAGAGCCTTTCAGTTATGTAAAGCCAGTCTCATCATCACCTCCAAGAGGGCCATCACCACCAATTGAAGTATGTGAAACTGTTATAAAGATATTATTTTTAGTTTTATTATTTTCTATAGAAAGAACATGATAGTGAAATGACTCCGTTGGTAAGAAAGCCTAATATCTTATAAAATAACTATGCATACTTTTGTCAATAGGTCGGTGACAACCAAGCCACATCAGTTCAAGAAACAAGCAGGTAAATCTATATGTTCTTACTCTGATACTATATTGTTTGTAGTTTTGAAAGGATGGCACCGTCAGTGAGGAAGAGAGCTACCAAGACACTTAAATTTATAGTGAAACACATTGAAGTAGCTAGAAAAGGATACGACTCAATTGATGCCCAAGAGCAAAAGTCGGCAGGAAAGAGAATCATTCGAGGCATAACAGATCCACAAAAAAGCATCATAAAGTATCCAGGGAAGCTAGAGGCCCCACCAATGTCTAAAAGCCTTAAAGAAAGTTCAGAAATGGGCTCACTGATGTCTCGTAAGTTTCTCTTACCTGGTATGCCAAAGGTCATTGGTGATATCTGGGTCTTCATTGAGCTCTTTATCACACTGTTTCAGCTATTCTTCTCATTAGTGAACACACAATATGCATCAAATAGACTCTTCAATGGGATCTATATTGTACTAGCTTCAACTAACACTGTGCTGGCATGCATCGATACTTTCTTATACTTCTATGAGCTGGAGACATGCAAGTTTTGTTATAGAAAGTGTACAAGAAGGGGAAAAGAGGATGAAGATGAAGATGACGATGATGAAATAAGCAAGGTTAACTTGTGCTGCTTTTGTCCATGCTTCCAAACCCCAGGGAAGTGGGCAAAGAAATTTAACGAGTGGTTTGAGCTAGCACGTACAATCCTAGGAGAACTACTCATCTATCCACTGGTTGTTCTTGATCTGTTTGAGCTACTCGGAGGCGGAACATTCCATCCCACCAACTCACAAGCTAGAGTTAGCTTTACCTTGTTCCTCATTGGCAGCTTCTATCTTGTACTATCAGTGTACATTGGGCGGACGCTAATGTCCGTAGCCACTATTAGAAGCATTCGTGGATTGTCTTCGCTGACAAAAAACGACAGCAGTTACACGCGAGTCGTTGTGCGATTCTTATTTCACGTCATCGGGCAGGTTTTTGTTCATCTAATGTGCGTTGTGTCGGTAGGGATCAAGATATGGCAGGAGGACAGTGATGTTAATGGAGGGACATATGTTGCTACACCGTTCCTATGGGCAGTCATCATTGGTGGCTGGAGTCTCCCATTCATGGGTGTAGTGTCTTACTTTGTTATCAACTACTATTGGCTACAGTCATTTTCAATTGGTTTATTCATTGACATGATTGGCTTGCTAGAAGAGCCAGGCTTTGCAGAGATTGCATTCCAGGGTAAAAACACAGTGGCTGAGGATGCTAACGAGAAGGCTCAGAAATTATTACAAGACTTGAATTATAGTGAAGTCAAAACAGAAGCCAAACAAAGAGAGGAAGCAACCAGTATAGTAGCAAAGATAGTGTATCCACTCAAAGTCCCCATATTCTTATGCTATGCTATCCTATATGACGTGATGGTTGGCGGGTTTGTTGCAAGCTTGCTCCTCGACTATGACAAAGATAATAATGTTGTACTCATCGAGCTAACAAGTGGGACTGGAATAGCTACGCTCATAACGATTGCATTAGTCCTGCTAAGCAACATTCATAGCATATTCGTCATTAATCTCTGGATGATCATAATCCTTTTTGCATTGCTAGTTGCAATGATATGCTCCCCGATTCTAATAATACTAGGGATTGTTACTCTTATCAGGCGATACAACAGAAAGAAATCTCAAGATCCTGATAGTACAGACATTGAGCAATATCCACTGACTTCAAAATAAAAAAAACATAATTTTTATTTTTAGTATTCCTGCTTAGCTTTATTACACAATATTAATAACTCTTTAGTGTTAGTTAAAAGTGTTTTAAAAGTTTCTATCAATTCGTCATACTTGTTTAGGACGCTCTGAGACGTTGACTTTTGTTGTAAGTAATAATTATTTGCCAGCCACTTGAAACCAGGGGCTCTAGACTCATAGAGGGGCTGGACAATAGCCACACCAGTATGATGAATAAATACACTTGATAAGACTGTTGAAAGCTGGGGCTTCCAGTAATAATCAGGAGAGCCTAACTCCATCAAACTGGTTGGATCAAGAAGGAATCCTAACCTACATGTATAAAAGTGTAAAGATATTAAGATAATTACCGTATAGCAAAAATTTTCATGGTCCAAAATTTTTATGGATTTGGCATTTTTTTCAAAATTTATGAAAATAAAATCTGCAAAAATTGATTTACATGTAGATGGCTGAAAGTATAAAACCACAAAAAGTAAAGCTACAAAATCAATTTTTGGATGAATCGACAAAATTTTTGGGCCACAAAAATTTTTCACTATATATGGTATGAGCATGTGTACATGTACATGTACATAAAATATGATTTGTGGATATTAAAATAAGACAATACTACCTACTTGTCTAAAATCAGTTGAAAAAAATTTATTAAGAAAACTGAATGATCATCTTGTTGTAGATCTACAGTAAGTAAGTGGATGCTAAACTATAACAATAACAATAGGAGTGTCACATACCATTGAGATAGACTTGATATTCTGATGGTAGCTGGAATGACAGCACAATTGAGTTTAAGAATGGATGTGGCTGGTCATTAGTGCTGTCCACTAATCCTAGGACCCCCAATGAGTGAACTGGTACTAAATTGAACCCACACATAGCAGCTTTATGAGTCCAGTTCTGAACCTAATAACAATTCACAAACTTGTTACACATAAAATCATTAAAATGTACTGCCTTATGATACATACACATACCAGGGTTCTGCTTAGAAAAAAAATTAGACGTGGCAGAGACTAATATTGTTCTTTTTAAGTTTATGTACACCATACTAGTAGACTACAATATCATGTTTTATGTATGGTTATTAGTATTAATTGCATGGTTGGTCTATGTGATGAACTGGTTGCCATGTGGTTGGTTCATTTGCTGAGGTGGTTGTCCCGACCCCTCCCCAACTGCCATACGCAGAACTATGACATACAGTACAGAATCACATACAAGCATTACATTGTGCTTACTAGCTTGTGTAGTAGTGAAAGAGTGCATGCCATCCATTGGAACTCCAGTGGGTACCCTTGAGTCTGATAGTACATTGTCCTGTAGTGAATGTAGCACCACTCGGGTCTATCACTGATTGACTGTTGATCAGGATTGAACTCGACAAACCGACTAAACCCCTCACCTAATGCTATAAGAGAAACAAGAGAGAAAAGGGGACAATGGAGAGGAGAGAAATAGGGGGAGAAAGAGGGAAGAGTAAAGGGGTTGGGTGTGGTTGTACATGTACATCAGGCGCTTAATGTACATACATGTACTGCATTTCCCTTTCAGGAATATTGATGAAATTAGCGCAATTATACATGCATGTACATGCATGTAGAATAGCCCAGTAGATACTGGCAAATGCACACAATATACATTCACATTGTGTGACATATAATTCATATCATATTAGGCATGAAAAGACATGTACATTTGGGTGTGTAAATCTACTAGAAATGCACTAACATTCAAACATATTGATTACAGTTACAACATCAATAAAAATCTATCAGTGCTACGTGTATAAGTGCCACTAATGACTCTTATACACATACATGTACAAATTGCAGAATCTAGACTAACCTTTATCATAGTCACCAGAATGCATGTAGTAGGGTGAGCTTTGAAAGGAAGAGCCATGACTAGGAGTATTGGCCTCAGTCTCTTGTTTAATGGGATTGATTCCAACCTCAAACCACTTCTTACAAAACACTTCATACTCAATATCAGGCTCTTCAATATTACTAGCTATAAAGTGTTAGAAATAGGAATGAGAGTGTGATGTACACATGTATGTGCAATGTACTACATGTACATGTACATGTACAGCGTATGTGTGTACATATACATGTATGTGTTTATATGTACTTTAAGGTACATGTATTATGTACTCTTAGTACTGTTAAAAGTGTTAAATGTTACTTACATTCAGGAGCATAATAAAAGTAGAACCCGTCAATGAAAGGAACTCTCTTGTCACCAGAAGCATGAACAATGTGTCCTTTCTTGAGCATATCCTGTGAATGGAAAAAGAACAAAGACTCAGAGCCACAGTAGGAGTTTATTGGCAGACATTCACAATTAAAACTTCCTCATACTTTGTTTACATGTACAAGCAAATTTTACACACAAAGAATGAAAGAGGAAATGTTCATTGCAGCCATTAAGAATAACAAATAGTAGTACCATATGGTGAGTGCATTTACAGGATTCCACTTAATCAACACAAATTGGACTGTTCTCATACCAGTAATTGGTAAAGGCACATGAAACCAGATCAGTAGTAAGTAATTCCTAAAAGCCACAGATGTATCTTCCAGGAGAAATATGATACTACAGTAGTACTTGTACATGTATCAAAGTCAAATAGTACAATACACTGTATGTGAGCCAGTGCAGTACAAAAAGTTATTGCTTACATGTACATGTACAAACTACAAGAATGTAAAACATTGAGGGTTCCATACCCTTGCCATGTACATGTACATGTACATGTACATACCGACAAACAAAACCACTTCATCATTCACCTAATAAAATTCAATACATGTTCTACTGAGTGTGCACACATTGTGCCTGTTACTATTGTATTAATGACTCATATACCCTCTCTGTATCATGGGAATGACAAAGTGTGTGCCAGAACACTATTAATTACAAGTGTATACTATAAGATGTACAGTTAATGTATTACTAGCCACAAGACACTAAACCACACATCTTAATGTCTAAAGTCATAGCCCACAAAGCCTAATGATAGCAATAAGACTTGACCATACTATCATAACACACTGAAAATAGAAATACATTATAGTACATGGCTATATAGACAAATATAATACATGTACATGTACATGTACATATACAGTAAATTATACATGTACTGTACATGTGCATGATGTAAATGTATGATTGACTCCTCCAGCTACATGTACATGTGCGTGTACATGTATAATTACCTGCATCATTGTGACGATGTCTCTCCTGGTAGGAGAGCCATCCATCTTCTCTTGTAATAGCTTGACAGCCTCCATTGAGAGGAAGCAGTTGTTCCTTAAAGGAGGTTGATTGACTAACAGATCAATACCATCACTGCAGTAGGGAAGCACAATGTCAGAATAAAATATAATAAATAATAATGTACAATATTACATGCGTACATATACAAAATGTCCCTTTTAATTGTGTGGGCTAATCTAAGCAAATTTAGCAAGAATGCTAAGTTGATGTGACACATGAAACTCAATCATACACTGCTTACAATAGTCAACTAAAGGCGGAATTACAATATTACGCTAGTCCTGACGTTACATTGACGCTGGAATAGAATCTGGTTCTATTCCAGCGGAAAGCATGCGTCAAAAGGTCAAATCGCCCACACTTTTGATTAAAAATTGACAGTACGCTGGCCTAATGTCATATTGTAATTCCGCCTTAAAGCTAAGGCATTATGTATGTACATAAGTTTAACAAAACAGATTTACACATGCATAGTAATTAATGTACACATTACTAGAATGCTAAAACCACAACCCACATGTAGTAATAATAATCTCGATAAGACAACAAACACTTTCACTCACTTCCTATCCAACAAAGCCTGGAGCACTTTTTCAGGCGGAGACACAATCATTAACGGAGCATCAGGGAAATCCAACGGACTCAGGTCATCGTCATCATTAGAGGGTATCCTAGTCGGAGTGGAAGGGACTATGTATAAAGACGGATATTGGGTCTCCTCCTCGTGGGCAGTAGGTAAGTTCTCGATACTTGCCGTCTTTAATTTCCGTCTTAGTCTCTGAGGATTAGGACTGGTCGATCGCTGACGACTGCCAAAAGTCAACTCTTTCAAATCGCCGACTATCTCCCTACTGCTACGCTGAGAGTTACTGGACATTAGCGATAACTGAGGGCTCCTTGAGGATAGGAGCTGCTCGTGATGTAGGGGACTACGTAGATCAGGACTCCGGGTACCAGGGCTACGGAGATCATCGTGTGATTTCATTTTACTGTCGGAGTTGGAGCGAGACGGAGTGGACAAGTCCTCGCGTGATCTTTGCCTTGGAAGAGATACAGTTGGAGAGGGACAGGGTGAGATGTGAGTGGTAGAGTGTACGGATGGTGAGCGACACGGCATTGAATTAAAACGACCCTGCAAAAGTACACATCATTGATTAACATACACATGTAATGTGTATGTGTAGTACATGTATTCAATCGTTTACCTATCCACGTGTACATGTATATATGTGAATGTATCTACTGTACATGTACATGTATAAGTACATGTACTACATGTATTTTATTGTTCATTTAAGTGCACCGTTATCTTTCTTCATTCAATATTCTGTATACTAATATTGAGTCTCTGGTACATTCCACACCACTTAAGACACACAGAGGCTACCCAAGTATGGTATCCTTAAATGTATCACTGTACTATCTTAAAAGGAAGTTACATGTACATGCAGCGAAAGATCAATAAAAATGTGGTAGTGAACAAAGAGACAAACAATTATTATTGGACATACACATGTGAATGCAAACTACTGTAGACCCCTAATATCAAATAAACTCATTGTATTATAACAACCACATGTACATGCATGTACATGTACATGTAGGCATAACAAATTATTAATACATGTACATGTACATGTACATGTACATGTACTGTATGTTGCTTACAAAGTCTCTCTTCTGGTTCTTGATGGCTGGTGATGTTCTCTTGATGCTGTTCATCAGTTCCACTAGTCTAATGAATCCACTGGTAGTGTCACATAGCCAGGAGCTCATTGATTCCCCAGTCCTGTCACTGGGGGGAGCCTCAGAAGGAAGAACTAGGAACCTACACCTCCAGTACTTGTGAGACTACAGAATAAGAATAAATGACCACTAATAACCATGAACACATACTCAGTGAATATGTACATATGTCACTTAAAATCATAAGGTGTTCAAACCCATTATCTATAATGATTGATATGTAGAGTACATGTGTTTGTACATGTACATGAACATACAATGTTCTACTAAAATAATACTAATTTTTTGGCACAAATTAACTAAATTTTCCCAGTCCACTTTTTGGACATGTTGCACAGTAATGAATTAGTTTTTGCCAAGGTTTCCCACAGGACTGTGGCATAGTGATCAGCTTCTTTGCAGTAAAGTTTTAAAGTTGTTCCAAAATTAACATATTATAAGTTTAAACTGACCTCCTGGTATTGCTCAAAATCAACATGTCCAGAAATGTGTTGGTCGAGATAATTCCAATTGTAGTTCTCCCTACGTTCGTGAGATAAGCCACAGCTAGCATCACTAAGAGTCTTTGTGTGTGCCACCAGCTTATAACTATACTGTACCTCTTTAAGATTAATAGGAGTCCTAATAATTAAAAATCAGCAAATAATAAAAATACTAAACGTACATGTACAAGTTTAACTTGTGAAATAAATCTAGAATTACAAGAATTACTAAGCTAAGCATGTACATGTACATGTACATGTATGTATCAAGACTTAACATGTTTCTGTACACCTAAATATGTTATGCTTAACAAATTTGTGAATTAATGTACATTGTATTACTTATATTCTCCATATACCCCAATCAACTTGTTTTGCTAGACAGAAAGTTAATGATTAATTCTTGGGCAGACAAACCCATTAAGAGTACACGTACTGGCTGTGACAAGTTGTAGAGTAACATTCTCCTTTATCTCTAATACACGTGTATAAGAACATGCATATGGCATCGGAAATAAACTTTTAATTAAGCAATTTTTAAAAGGACGCGTGTACATGTTCCGTAATAAGAAATAAGCATGTGTACATGTACAACTACAACATTATCATTTCGCTTGTGTCATTATTACATGTACATCTAAGTGCATAGACAATACAGTATATAATTATTATAACATGCATGTTATATGTTTTGTATTAAATTTACTTCATTTTGTAGATACAGGTATGCATATGTGGAAATTCAAGAGTAATGTTTTGAAACACTCGTCCCATACTAAACTTGACTATTATAGTTTTCTGAATAAAAGTAATAGGGGGAAGAGAGAATAGGATGAGGGAGAGAGGAAGAGGAGGGAGAGAAAAAGAATGATAGAAGAGAGGGAGAGAGAAAGAGAATAAAAAATGAGGGAGAGTATTAAAAAAGAGATGCCAAGAAGAGTGAGAGAGAAAGATAATGTAGAGTAGAGAGAGAAAAATTTTTTAAATGGCTAACTTTCTTTCTCTTGCTTTTAATAAGTCCATCTAAATCTTTGTGTAAACTGTATAGGCTCCCATAGTGAAACACCAATTGAAAACCCTAACAACAAAAAATAAGTAGTGTGACAAAAAGTGTAGGTACATGTTTAAAATGTACAAGTACAATGTACATGTACATATGCACAACTGGAATAAAATAGTTTATAAAACTTTGTTATTGCTTGCTTAAGCAAATACATGTACATGCATAAAATGACTGATGTCCATAGCAATACAAACCTGTGCTAGTCTTTGTGATATCATTTCCTTAAAAGCCTGGACAGTATTGATATTCTGATGGTCAGCCCTCCAGCCATCAGCCACGCCCTTATCCCCAGCCCCCTCGCTGTCATCACTGGATACAAGGAGAGACGAATTATACACAACATAATCCCTGGATATGGCATAGCTATCAGGATAATAATCTGTCGTAAGAGGGAGGCAAGCTGGCTCCGTTAACGAAGTCCAATCCATTCCAGATCGACGTATTGAAGCAAAGTTCTCAACAGTACTAGCATGGATAGTATCACCAAGACTCGGTGACTCAGTAGACATATTGTTAGAGAGTGATAAAGATGGCGTACTTAATCTGTTTTTTGTTTTAAGCTCTGTGTTCTCGTCCAGTTTCTCCAACTCCTTCACGTGGTGGGTCTGGAAGGCTCTGCCCAAAGTGTCTCTAGGGAAGGTGTGCATCCATCGACAGAGGTGGGAGTTGACTTCAACGTGAGACTTGCTCGGGTCGAACGGATTTATGAAAGCTTTCTTTCTCCTCGTGACTGGGGATTTAAACGGCTGCCTGCTGCTTATAAAACTGCCGACCATTTCAGCACTGCCCACTCTAACCAGACTATCATCGAATGTTTCGTCGTCGTAATTGTCTGAATGATACCTTGCTCCTGTATATAGTGGGATACATATGACACATGAAATACATGTACATATAAAAGACACAAATACATGTATGAGTAATGAAATGTAGTAATGCACATTACAGTGGATGTACATTAATATATGATATGTGCCAGTGACTTACGTTGTGGTCTTTTTCTAGCACTAGCCTACAAATAAACAAATTAATAATCTTAATAGTGACTTTATAATGCAGGCTTATGCAGCCAAAAGTCAAGTGCTACATTGTGCATTTGTTATAGATTAGACACATATTTTACATTATACAGGCATTATCTATTTAACATACTTTAGAAACTTCAGATGGACTACTACTAAAATGTAAAGACACAATTAAAATACAGTACAACAGACATTCAACCTTACCTCTGATGCTCGTAACTTGATGTTGAAAAATCATCAACGGTACTATGCTAATAACAAACAATAATTATTATTTTGAAGCCAAAATTTGCCAATTTGTGGTCCTAATGCTACATGTACATGTACATGCACGCCAAGTTAAGTTTAAAAAGCTGGACAGCAACCAAAAAAATTATCATTATTATTATAATAGTACAATCATGATTAAAGTGGATATAAACTGTACATACCCTTCCAAGCTTTGGTTTCTCTGAAGGAGAGTCCTCAGAAAAGCTGTGATGATACTTAGAAGAGCCAGAGAATGTAAATATATTACGATCATAAGTGTCATAGTCGACAAGAGCCAGTGGGTCATTGGGATTCAGCAATGGAGGAGCACAAGTATCTAAACATTAGTAAACCACATCATAATGTAGAGTGTCGTGATAAGTGACACAAACGTTTTGCTTTCTGTGAACAATCTCCTGTTTCATCTAGAAGGACCGGGTTAGTCTTCAGATGTTTATTCACCTTGAATAAAAGAATATTAATAATAAATGTACATGTACTGAAATAAAGTAGTGCAAGATCTACATGTCATACAATGTACATGTACATGTACATATTTCATGTCTTGTTTCTTTCTCTTTAAATTCATAAACTTAATTTCTCTGTCTCTGTATCATTCTCACTATAATATTTCCTCTCAGCAACTCATAGTATTAAAAAATGACAAAGCTTTAAGCTTCTGTATAGCTTACAAGATGATCTGATATTTTTATTCGTGGCTGATATCTGAACTGGGTCCAAGGCCTTGAAGGATTATAATAACTGTAGTTGATCCAGTGAGGAATGTGATAGCGATCCTCAGGATGATATCCAGAATAAAACTAACAAGAAAGAATTAATACACTAACAAAACTGCACATGTGCACATATAATATATAGATTACATGTACACTAGACACACATACATGTACATGTATATGTATTTTTATTAATAGTTTATTAACATGTAAAACAAACCTTGAATAATGGCACAGCATGTAGTGGCTGCTCGTTGAGGCATACAAGATCCATTCCTATACCTATAATATAGTCAATGAACAAAACAGATAATAACTACAAGTACATACACATATACATATACATCCGTATGTGTATACCTCCATTTGTACATGTAGAATTCATAATAGCTTTTTAAATTCTCAGTTTTAAAACATGCAACTTACAAAATTAATGGCTTGAAAGTTAAAACTAACCTTGATCAATTATCCTTTCCTTTGTTAGCCTGTTCAGTTCATTATCAACCTACATGCAATGACAGGCAGTTGAGTGTGATAGTATTTTGGCTATTATTAAGTCAGTATTGAGTATTGAACATATACTCTACCTCAAAGACTCCTGCTCCTGGGGATACAATCACTATTTGCTGACCAGTTGTATTGAAGTTACAATTCTTATAATGATTCTCCAAAACTACAAAGGATTAGCTAAAATAAAAACACTCGTGTGGCAGTCCAGACATAGTAACAGAAATATCTATTATTATACTTTACTACACAACTACTGCTATTACGAGGTAGATTAAATGGAATCACTACATGTGTTACTACAATATACTTGGCAAAGATTTCTAAAAATTTCTAAAATTTCTAGCATTAACGCACACTTTAAGTACATGCATACTTACATCAGAAAATTAATATAATTAATATAATAAAAATTAAAAATCCTCTCATAGCTATTTTTGACTAGGGTCTTTGGTCCAATTTTTAGCAACTTTTAAAATTTGTAAAAAAAGCTGATTTTGATCAGAATTCACTCAAAGTTTCTACAGAGACATCAGTACATACATGTGTATATTATATGTATCAGAAAAAATAAAAAAATAGAGAATTTGTTTCTAGCAGTTATTGAAAAAATTTGGCCAATGACCCTGTACTATTTTGCACAAATTTAAAAATTTATAAAAAATAATCTTGAATCAGCTGAAACTTACAACACAGCATCAAACTTATATTATGCCTCATAAAATGTAATATATAATTACCATTAACTGCTAGATTAGTAGCTTCTAATATATTCCCTTCAGCTGAAGTTGATATCCACTCATCAAACTGCTCAGGAACAACACCATCACCTAATAAGACACAATAATGACTGATACGTTCAGTATACATGTATTAGTTAAAGCACTGTTGAGAGTAGGTTACGGAAATTATTGCACGAGGGGCGGTCGAGAGGAAAATGTAGCACGAGGCGAAGCCGAGTGCTACATTTTCGTCGAGACCGTCCCGAGTGCAATAATTTCCGTAATCTACGAATCAACAGTGCTTTGATTGGTTTGTAGTGGTGCGTGGGTGGATCAAATGAAATTTCAAAAGTCGCGCAGGTGGCCAGCGCAAGCCGATCAGATCTCATTTATCACTATTATTATTGTTACATGTTTAGTGTATGTAGCTGAGGCTGTTATTTGCCTCTATCAAAGCTTGTGGTTAACAGGAATGCTCATACATATTATACTGTGCAGTACTATATATTCCACACAGTGCTACATTTTCCTACCGTGCGGTTATTGGAAGTTGTAGCACTGGCGGCGCCTTTGATCCGCCCACGCACCATACTACAAGTACATGTAGCTTGAGGCTCCAAAATTTGTGAATCAATCAAACATCACATGTAGGTGTACATGTATAATTTTTGCAAGATGGAAACTAATCCCATGAAATAGCCTAAGATGCATGTATACGGTATCATAATTATCCAATATAAAAAACAATAGTTCTAAATGTATGTACTTATACTATATACCATTATATATATACTATATATACATAATTATACCATTGATCAAGTGAGGCTGAGGATTGAGGAGCTCTTGAAAGCATTGGAAGCTTCTCTTGACTTCAACAATTGCACTTGACCAGTCAGCATGAGACTCTTCTTGAACGACAACACTAACCAAACAATTAATAACAAAATGTATGTACTGTCTATAGTATCTAGAGAATAACTTCATGCACATATTTGGCATAAACACATAGCTACAAGGTCAGGTATGTAAGGGCAATACTAAAAATAACCACATGCCCAACTAAAAATTAAATTCTGCAACCACCAAGCAGGCCTTCATCTAGGATTTTATACAAGGGGGGGCCAGGGTTAAAAATATTTCAAAAAAGGGGGGTCACTAATATTTTCTATTGTGCATGCACAATGCGTGCTCACAACACTTATACAATTTACTGCTGTGGTGATGAAATTTTTCATGTTAATAAGTCAATCAAGGAGGGGCAAGTGTCTCCCAAGGGGGGCGAGCGCCCCCCTCCGCCCCCCTAAATAAAGCCCTGCCTAGTGATACGTGCTCGACACGTACACATTATTTAAAAGGATCACTAGTCTTTAAGGACAATAATACAAGGTATGTACATACATGTACTTACTAGTAATAATCAGTATAGTATCGTCCGTGTTTATCAGTCAGCATTCCATCAGTATCTGTGTGTTAATGTATGACAGTACATGTACATGTACATGTACATGTACATGTACATGTACTGTACACATGTACAGTAACTTATCACTTACAATTTCTTGAATATTTTCTGGCAAAAAATATGAGTGTCAATTGATGATTACATTCTTTATCCTAAAATACGAAAAGATTAAAAGTTTAATGTGCCATATAAATACCACAAAATTTATGTACCAAAAATTTTGCAAATTTGTGTGATTTTTGCTTTGTCACAAAAATTAAAATTGCAAAAATTCCACAGCTCCATGCAGTGCAGTTTGCAAGCTATTCGTGAAAATTTATTTCATGAAATATCAAAATTGCAGGATTCACGAAGATTTTTTGTCACATAAATTTCATGGTATACACTACATGTACATGTACATTTACACCAATTAGCTTGAATGTATTTTACAGTATGCCAGAATTTTCAATACAGTACAACCAGTAGTAATTAGTGCTCACCAATATAACATTTTTATCCTTAAAGCAAAACTCATCAATTACAGTGATATGAACATGTACATGTACAACGTAATAGAACAATGTTCATGTCCAATTAATGTGTGAATCAATACACACACTTCATGTACTGTACTGTACCTTCCAAACAGAGAAGAGATCCTTCAAAAAACCATCAACTGCTTTATCAAAGTAAGTATCACCTAAACACTAGTAATATGTACTAGGACAATAAGGATACAGTAACTGACCATTGGGATCAAATTCCCATATCTCTGAGCTGACTTGTATGAATAAAAAAAATTGCGATGAGGCTGATCTAAACACAATCTATAGCATCAACAAAAGACCATTAAACAAACCTTTACAGACATGTAAATGTACATGTACATGCAAGATAATAACCTCATGTTAATGTATTAAAATTTGCATAAAAATGTTGTGTATCAAACAAATGTACAAAAGCAACAGAGTATAATGTACATGCACATATACACACAAAAATAATCATAATTATTATTGAAACTCTCACCCTGGTAGAGTCAGTCACGACTCCACTCTTGACAGTTTCCCCTTTAGCCCACAATCCACTAACTTTCAACAGCATACCAGCAAACAATAGCTTCCTTGATATATACATCCCTTTATCAATCTGTGAGTCGATGAGAGTTAAGAGAATACATGTACAAGTATGTACCAGTGAATTGGTAAATCTCCACATGTCACTTCTTGACAAACCTTGATCCTTGAAAATAATATTGTAATTATAATGTACAAAAAGGTGACAATAAATATTAAACTTGGACACTGTACATGTAGCAACATTTACATGTAAATGCAACAGATAGAAATGTACATGTACTCCATGCTGATACTATATACATGTACATGTATACTGTACACTGTTTCTTATCACACACAGACAATTAAAACTTATTAATTCATTTAGGTTTCGGTATACCGATTTTTAAGAATGTATTGATTGTATTAAATATAATAATAGTTGGATTTAAATTTATAAAGACACTGTATACATTGTCATCTATAATTTTTGAAATATTGCATCACTGTATCATTATGGTATCATTGTATTACACATGCTTGTACATGTACTGCTAAAATACTCATAACTCACTTTAAATCTGAATTCAACCAAATCAAGTGCCACTTCATCTTTATCCACTCTCCTAATACAGACTTCCCTCAGTCCACTGAGATTGAAGGCATGAGCCACCTCTTGACTGATGCTAAGTGGACCACCTAATAATTAAAGGACACTTAATTTGGTCCAATTTTTGAGCAACTTTTAAAATTTGTAAAAAACCAAATTTGATCGAAATCAGTTCAAACTTTCTACACAACATAAGAACACGTACATGTATATGTATCAGGAAAAATTATAAAAATATAGAATTCTCTACTTTTCATTTTTGATGAAATTTGGCCAAAATCACTGTACTATAGTACAGGGACTTTGATCCAATTTTTGAGCAACTTTACAAATTCGTTAAAAAAATCCAAATTCAATCGGAATCAGCTCAAACTTTCTACAGAGCATAAGAACATGTATACGCATTAGAAAAAATTATAAAAAATGGAGAATTCCCTGCTTGTGATTTTTGTCTAAATACCATGTACTACAGTACTGGGACAAGAGGATGCATGAGGACTATGCCACAATGGAAAACCCTGTCATAAAAATGGCAGATCAAATTAAGAAATGTTTAGACGCAATGTCTAAACATTGTTTGAATGCAATTTCAGGCTCTGCATGCATATATTTCAAATCACAAACAAACAAAACCATAACTTTACACATTCCGCAAATCTTTAAAAAAATAAACTAATCTCACCTTTAGCCTGTACATCTGCAGGAATCTTCCTCACTTCCAATAAAAGGTGATTCCTATTTCAATTACTATGATTTGACATCTTCAGTAATTTCTATACTCTACTTTCTTCCAAAGGACTTTCTTTCATCAACAGGAAATATCTCAATGACAATTCCCTCAAATATCCTAAACTTTTCCTTGATAAATGAGTCAAGGTTCACCACTAGGTCTTCTTCTACAGTATACAAGCATGGCACAACATTTTATAATGAATGAGACGTACCACAAAAATTTCTAGGATGAGTTTTAAGCTTTATAACTTTTGTTTCTGAGTAGTATTTGCTGGGCAGTGAATCCGCCATTTTTAATTTCTGCACTTTTAGACCACGCCTACACAGCACCTTAAAATTAACTCCTTGTTCACTCGATTTAACTCGAACTCGAAACGACGAGTCGAAGTTTTCTTTCTATTGCATTTTCTTCGTGATTTTCATCTCCAGAAAAGCAGTCTCTTCCCCACACATCTATAACCTTCAGTAAGATTACACTGAGATTGAAAATCCAACGAAATATCGGGCCGAATGGCGAGCCTTTTTGCATCTGATTTGGCGCAGCCTGACTTACCAAACAAGGCTCGAGAAAAGGCCATTTGTGAGTAGCATTTTCCTTGTACATGTGTTATATCTATGCATAATTTGTTACAAGTTTGATAACACCTCAATTAATTTCAAAAATCGAATTTTGATTAAAAGCAACAAGAAAATCAGTTTACCATTAATCATACTAATTTAATTTAATATTAATCAAAAAGAGTTTAATCTATTTGGCACTCTTACACTTATTGTGTATTGTTTTTTTAGTCCTTGAAGAGGCACTAGCAACACTAAGAAGAGATGGGTTTGATCCTTCAAAATCAAGTCCGTACCAACTCGGAGAGGAGCTGGGTTTGAATACTTCATTATCTCACATTGATGACTACCTTCGGTTATTGGACTCGGTCTGTATGGTCTTGGGATTTACAAAGAAGGAGACTGCCATTGCCATGTCTAATGTCTGTCTTAAAGTAGTCCTGACGCTTTGGTTAAAAGAGGTAGACAATGTCTCTGAACGTGGAAGAGCTACCAAGACTTCACTTAAAAGAGCTATAGATAAAGTAAAAGGGAAGGCCTCTTTTAGCGGACGTAAGCAGATATTATACTACATTGTATGTGCATTTAAATTCATGTATTCTTTTATAGAGGAGATGTTAAACACTGACGCAACCGTTACTATTCGTTATACTAATCTTCTACTCTGTGGTCTCCCTGGGAGTGGTCGCTCTTCTTTCCTTCGTCTATTGCTAGGCTCAGATTCTACAGCCCCTGTACCGCCTGTTTCAATAGCTAGAATGATGATGAGGACTCCCGAATCAAGGCTAAGTGATCGTTCTTATGAATGGAAAGACTCAACTTTTGAGGAAATAATTGCCAGCCATTTTAATGAGGCCAGTGACAGACCTGCAGATCCACCAGAGCACTCAATTCCTTTGTCAAGTAGAAGATTTAGGAATGAAACATCATTTGAGCCATTTGAGCCATTTCTGTTTCGTTCCCTTAATCAACTTAGGCAATTACAAATGCTACTAGTTAAAAGAATGGGGAAAGAGTCTAGGATTAATTTGCACAAGGAATTTTCTACAGGGAGGCTCCAACAACATCAAGATCTGTTGCTTCGTATTCGCAATGCTGATGAAGATTGGGGATACATTTCCAGTTGCATGTATAGTACTTACATTCGTGATGCGTGTGTTCTTTCACAGCCTCAAATGATCGAAAGATTTCAGCTGTTTCAAGGTGAGAAGTTCTTTGCTATTCTTTACTCAATGATGGACGATTTGAGTCATGATTCCAAAGAATTTGAACATGCTCTAAGAGAGATAATCCCTCTATTGTCCTCGTATCAATCTGATCAACCCAAACCCAATAGCATTCCTCACCCATATTTTGTTCCTCACTCTCCTCCCCACATTTCTTCATCTTCTACTTCAGTGTCACGTCCAGTCAAGGGTATCTCACATATTTTATCAGCTCCTAAACCCGCCGATAAAAGTACAATACATTTCGTTAATGTTATCACAACCAGAGGGCCACTGTCATTTTTGAGCACTATTCCCGCAGTTCTAAATTACACTGCAGTTAATCTGATAACCCACAGGCTCGATGCTCCTTTGCACGAAAGTAATTTTGATGGCACCATTCGTGGTACTGCCCCCATTGATATGCTTGATGATTTAGTACGGTCTTTAAATTTCCCTCAAAAACCACCTTTAGAAGGTATAATTGCACACGTAAACCCAGAATATGGCAAGAAGAAGCTTTTAGTAGTCGGAACATGCCTAGATCTTATTGATAAAGAGAAACTGAGCTCATGCAATAAAGTTCTAGACAAGTACTTTGACAATTTGCGTGATGTATTCCTCCGTGATGCTAATTCTATCGTATTTGCTCTCAATAATCTTAATAAGACGGAAAATGAAGACAGGAAGTTGAGGCTCATTCGTCGAAAGGTTTGTAACCAATACATAGAGGCTCAGATCCCAGGACGATGGATCTTACTAAAGCAGGAGTTGTTGGTTAGGGCTCAAAGACAAACGGAACTCTGCCCAGTGGACGACTTAATTGAGGTGGGAAAGAGTTTTCAAATGACAGAAGCTGATGTCAAAAGTGCTCTCTCGTTTTTTCATAGTATGACTTTCATCTTTTACTTTCCAGCCTTCATTCCTGACTTTGTTTTTCTGAACCCTGAGGGTCTACTCGAAAAACTGTTTGAATTGACCAAGATTCAAAAAACGGAATTAAAAGCTGATCGCCTGATGCAAATGGACTTTGCACATGCACCTGGAATACTTCCATACTTGCTGGAGCGTCTTCTACTTATTCTGAGAAACCCTCTGTCTAGTGATAGCTTTTTATTTCCTTGCTCTCTTGAGCAGTGTCAAAGCTTAAGTCACACAAGACGACGTCTTTATCCTGTAGACCCTCTCGTCCTTTCCTGGCAGCTACAAGTACCTCAGGGACTCTTTCAAGCTCTCTGTATTCATCTAGCAAGCTCAGTTTGGGGTTTTCCTCTTTATTATTATTATTATCAAAACGTAGCTCATTTTAGAGACGAAAAGCGAAACATGCATGTAACTCTTATTGAGCACCGTTGCTCTTGGATTGAGGTTTATAATGAGAGTGATGATGCCTCGTCCTGTTCCAGTATTAAGGAAGACATTTATAAGTCAATGCAGGCAGTACTGGACCTTTTTAATATTAACATTTCGATCATACCACCATTGACAGAGCATTTCTTCTGCTTTGAACATGACGCTAATGATCATCTGTGTGCTGTCGGGATTGAAGATGACAAGGATATGGTCACATGTCTCCTTGATGGATCCGCTTCATTTAGCATCACTGATAGACAGAAGCCATGGCTAGAGATTAAATTAAAACTAAAGAGCTTTGAAGGTACATGCATGTGCTATAAAAATGTAGTAACTGTGTGGTTTTTGAGATAGCATTCAGGGAGGGATAATTACCCTGTGGCATAGATAGTAGACTACTATCTATGCCTGTGGCCATTCCCAGTGTATGGACAGGTGTTAACATCTGTAGTATATAGTCACTGTACTTGCTTTGTGTGGTTGTATGCTTGATTAAATTTTTTTGCATACATGTACTTTATACCACTATGATAATTTAATTTACACACCTTTGAATTCTATTTTTGCAGCTTCAAAGCCACTCAATATCAGCAATCTATCAGACATATTGCTGTTACTCAGAAGAAGTCATTTTAGTGGGAAGTGGCAAAATTTAGGTCTCATGTTGGGTCTTTCTATTAACACAATTAAGCATATAGAAATGGAGAATAGATCTAATGCTGAACGATGCCTTACAGAATCTCTTGCAGCTTGGTTGAAGAGTGTTGATGGTGCTTCTGCTAAAGATATAAATTTTGGTTCCCTTGCTAGTGCTCTTGAACAAATGGGAGAAAATGCCTCTGCTCATACAATACATGGTAAGCATAATCAGTATGAGCTAATCTACCTTTTGCTTTGCATAATTATACAATAATTATGCATGTACATGTATATGAGGTTTGAATTACTTGTTCTGTAATGTTACTTGGTGTATAATGGTTATTGGTGTATAATTGTTAGGGTTCCTGTGCATATATTATCATGAACCTTTTTGTTTTAAATAGAATCCTTGTCCAAATAGCAAGACAAGAAGCCTCGTTCGAAGAGCAGGGCAACTCTCAAAAGAAGATCATTTAATTGAGATCAGGAGCGATTAGACTATCAAATTTAATCATTATTTTTTCCTAATAATTATGTATTAATTATGCACATAAATAGATACATGTATCTACATGTATATTGATATTTTTAAAAATAATGGTGAATTATTAGTCAATTGAAATTGACTCCGCCTAGCTAAGCATCCGACGATTCCAGGCTTTCCAGCTTTCTTCATAATTCAGTTTCTTCAAGATGGAAAGTCCAATTCAGTTGCGCATTGATTTAAGTGAGTTCTATCATTATCATGGATTTCTAATGCTTAAAAGACTAATCACAAAAATAATTGTTTAGGTGTGAAGGATTTGCTAACTTTCCTCACTCAAGCAGTGAAGAATCCAGTCATACTGAATGACAAATGGAAGGACTTGGGAGAAGGGCTTGGTCTTGACCAGGAGGCTTTAAGCGGGATCTCATCTAGTAGACAACCAGAAGAGTACCTGGAAGGCTGCCTCTCACTTTGGTATGAAAGTAAAGGGGAAAGATTGGCTGCTCCTTTCACATGGGAAGCGTTACTCATAGCACTGAATAAAACTGGGGAAGCACAGATGGCTATAGACATTTATTTTGCAGGTAAGTGCTCCTTGGCATAGTATCTCATTTTATTTCTTCCTGTAGTATCTGGTAAGGGAGTGGATGGAATTGGAGAAAGTGAGTCAAAAATCTTGAGTTAAGGTTATACATGAATGAATCAAATTTGCATTGGGGGCCATCAAATGGAAATTATTAGGAAGCAATAGGTATAAATTTTATTGGAGGTTCATGGCTCCTCTATTTCAACACTTATAAAAGTTTGAACTGATTCTGTCTGAAAACTTTTTGAGTTAAGGCCATTTTCCAAAGCTATAGTTTTTTTTCAAAAAAATTGCTCCAAAATCACCAATTTTTATTACACTTCTGATATACATTATTTTATAATTTATTCTTATAATGAATTTTATTGTTTCAATTAGGTGATTTCTTGAAATCACTTGATGAAGCATTAAAGGAAGGCTCTGTTAAGACAAGGTGGACAAAGTTTGCAGTATCAGGTCCATCAGGGAGTGGTAAAACATCCTCAATTAAGCTTCTGCTTGGGGAAGAGCCAGTTATTGAGTATTTGAGCACTGACGTCATTGAAGCAGCAAAAATAAGAGCATACAATATAATGGCCGAAAATGACAGCAATAGAGGAAGGAATATAATGTGGAGAGAAATTAGTTCACTGGAAGATATTGTTTCGAATGACTCTCCGGAAATGGATAAGCTTACCGAAGACATTGATGGCCTCAAGTTGTCAAAGGAGAAAGCTAGCAGTCGACCTTCTTTAAACAAAATAGTTCATTTTATCTATGCCATTGATACTGGTGGTCAAGCTGCCTTCCTTGACATTGCCCCAGCTCTAATGCGTCACAATTCTGTCACCATAGTCACGCACAAGCTTGATGAGGATCTTGAAGACAAAGTTAAGTTTTCCTATTGCTTGGATCATAGTGAGGATCGTCAGCACACATATGAATCCTCTGAACATCAGATCACTCATCGACAGCTTTTGGAATCGTTAATAAGACCATCGCATATGACCAACAAGCCTCAACTGGATATGATTAAAGCAAAGCACTATCCTCCAGATGAAAGATCCTGTTTCATCATATTGGGCACAAATTTTGATAAGATCAGTAATGATGTGGACAAAGTCAAGGAAAAAAGTACTTCCCTTTCAGCTACACTAAAGCAATTTGACAGTGATCGTAAGATAAGCGTATGCAAATATAACGTTAAGCAGCAAGGTGGGGCCTCAACAGCCTCATATATATTCCCTATCAATGCGATAGACAGAGGTCCTGACACATTAAATATTGCAAAAATAGTTCGCCGTCAGGTCAGTAAATCATATATTGAAGCCGATATTCCCAAGTCATGGTTTTCTTTCCATAAGAGATTAGTGGAAGGATCTCAAGAGCCAACAAAAGAGTCGATGGAGGCAAACAAGAATGTCGTTAGTTTAGAAGAATGTAAAAGAATTGGATTAGAGCTTAAGATGAATATGAAAGAAGTAGAAGCAGCTCTGATGTACTATCACAGTCTCACAGTGATACTTTACTACCCAGAGATCATCCCAGATGTTGTCTTCCTTAAGCCGCAGCCGCTATTTAAGAAGCTCTCTCAAATAGTCTTTGCTTCGTTTAGTGAGGCACCTGCAATATTTCAAGATGAATTTGACATTGATTTGCCTGGCGATGCTCAGCATAATCTAAGCACAAAAGGCACATTTAAAAAGGATCTACTAGATGAGCTGGAATTTCTTGATGAGTTTGAGGACTTGTATACTTCTGCTGACCTCATAAATCTAATGATAAAGCTTTTGATCATAGTCAAGCTGCCAATGAGTGACCATGATCCAGACGAACAATACTTTTTGCCATCTGTACTTCCTATCTGCGACCCAGCTGTAAAAGCTGAAGAGTTTAAGAAACACTGTCACGTCAGTCCTCTTTTAATTGGTTGGGAAAAGGTCATTCCTCAAGGATTCTTTTGTGCTTTGATACTTCGTCTACTTCAGCATAAGGATTTTGCTAGTGAAAGCTTTTTAAGAGATAGGTCAGGAGGGAATGAAATAAAGCAATATCGTAATGTCGTCAAGCTACCATGTAAGAGCACCAAAGGGGGCAAAGTATTGCTTATTGATGGCATAAATATATTGCAAATACATTATAATGGAGACTCAAAAAATTGCTTCGAGTTACGAAAAACACTGATGGAGGTGATAGATTTTGTTGATCAAGAATACTCGTACAATTTGGGTCAACTGTCTTGCTCCTTTTTTTCAAGGCATGAGGAGTGTGCCACAGTGAAAAGTAGCCTCAATGAGGATATGGTTCTTAGTTGCACTCGCAGTGGCTGTGACCAAGCACCATATGGCATTGATCAGCAATGTGAGCTACCATGGATTAAGCAGGAGACACCATTAGCTCAGCAATCTGCAACAAAAGATCTAGAGCTAGATCCAAGTAAGAGTAAAGATGTAGCTATTTTTTATTTTTTATTACATGCATATGCCCATTTTAACAAGTATTGGTTTTTAGCAAAGATTATAGTATTTATTTGTTTCTATAGAGGTCCAATCAGTATTAGACAAGGCACCAAAATTAACACATCTTCAACATATATTTTTAAAATATTCAGAAAAATATTTCATTATTGGTGCAGCATTAGAGGTTGAGGCTGATGGCTCTCTTATTGGCACAAAAATTATGCTTAATGACATTTTTAAAAAGTGGAAAGATTCGGGCAAAAATGTATTTTGGCGAACAATGCTACAAGTCTGTAAAGATTTTGAAACTGAATTGGGACGAGCAAAAAGTGATCTCCTTCAATTCTTAGTGTCACCTAGGGCTCAAGAGGAATATTCGTAACATCTATATGTGTGTGTGTGTATATATATATATATATATGAAGTTTCTTTAAAATTTTCATCATTTTTGCATAATTATAACTTTGTGGTAATAAAAATTACTCTATCTAAACCATGCCTATTGAATTTGCTTAGTTTGCTAGGGGTGGGGCTATTGTTTATCAGGCCTGGTGTCGAGTCCTCCTTCATTCCTCACCTGATTTGTGGTGCCCTCTATCGATTTGATTCTACAATGGAAACCATAGAATTGAAGCTAGATACTGGAACAATTTCTCTTACTGTTGAACCCAATGACACTGTCTATACCTTGAAACAAAGACTAGCAAATGAAGAGAAAACCTCAACTCCACCAGATCAACAAATTCTAACCTGTAATAGCAGTGTTAGTCTGGCCTATAGCAGTGTAATGGAAAATGAACAAATGTTATCTGACTATGGGGTCAAAAAAGGAAGCACAGTTTATTTATTGTGGCCACTTACGGTTAGATTTAATGGTGAGACTAGATCTATTAATGTCAAGCCTTTTAATAAGATTGAAAGTATTTAAAAAAAGATACAGAATAATGAGGAAATATCAGTCGATCATCAATTTTTATCATTTGCTGGCAAAGAATTGGAAAACGACAAAACTCTGGCAGATTATAACATCAAACGGAATGATACTATTGACTTACAATGTATTACACACATCGTTATTAAAATGTCCGCTGGAAAAACCAACAGACTTGACGTCAAACCTTACAATACTGTGAAAGAAATAAAGCAAATAATGGAAGAAAAAGAGGGTATACCACTTACGCAGCAGAAACTCTATTATATGGGTTGTGAATTAAAGAATGACCAGTCTGTCTCAGAGTGTGAATTTAACGATTACACATATAGTGAAGTGCATCTTGTTTGTCGTTCTCAATCTCCTATACAGATCAAAGTTTTAACTCCTGATAGTAAACAAATTACTCTTACAGTTGATGGTACAGATACTATTGAAACTATTAAAAGAAAAATGAAAGAGTTTCCTCCTAGCCAGCATGCATTGGTTTTTGCTGGAAAAGAACTACAGGACAATCTAACACTTTATGATCAGTCTATTCAAAATGGTAGCATGTTACACTTAAAATACAAGGAACCAGCACTGTCATCAACTTTGTCAGGTTAGAGCTAAGCCTTATATTTATTTTTTATACACATCATTCTTATTAGAAAGATTTTTAGAACCTTTCAGCAAATACCAACTGCTCACATTTTATGTAGATTTTCCATCTACTAGAGTGTGGAATGTACATTTTGTTGTAATTGACAGTTGTATTGCTACTAGGGAGGTACGTACATGTAAAATAACACATAGTTATCAGTGATATAATTATTATTTTTAGAAAGTCTTTGCTGAAATGAAATTGTATAAAAAAGGAGAATCTGAGGTCTTTTTTTCATTTAAAAATTCAGCCATTTCATTTGACTGCCTCGAAGAGGAAGTATTACCAGTAAATGGATGGAGAATTTTGCCACTTCAGTCTCCTCTAAAAGTATCAGTTGATGTCTGATTATAGTTGTACAGAGTCTCTTTTTCAGATCTATAAAAAGGATGTTGATTACTACTGTTCCAATCAGGGGATTCTTCCTAAAGTCACTATTCGAGTTGAAGCTCTTTCAGCGGATTCTTTAAGTTTACAAAGAATGTACCAATCTCTGGAGCAAATTATCTTACTCATTCCATTACATTATCCTTACTATATAGTTAGTTATAGATTACCTACATGTGTATTATGTATAATTATATCAATTTTCTGTTATTTTAGTTAAGAATGTAACATCACCAGTAATTTGTGGTAAGAATGATTAATGAATCTGCAATAATTATAATGATGTGTTTTAGATTCGATTCCAAGTATCAACAATGATGGTACTATAGCTTCTAGTGGCCCCTCATTGCCTGACCTGTTGAATGATATTGCTGCAAAAGCTCCAAACCAGTGGATGAAAATTGGTTTAATGCTAGGAATAAGTTTTTTAGATTTGATGTCAATTAAAGAGAAGAATGAAGATGACAAGATCTGTTATGCTAATATATTCCATATTTGGAAGACTGCTGATACTCGCCCGTACAGTTGGGAAACTATGGTTGTTGTCTTGAAATCAGATGTAATTAACGATTCCCAGTTAGCTAATGCTATTTGTAAGAAATATTTATCTAATTAAGCCAATTATGCGGCTACTACTGTAAAGTAAATTTGAATGTATTTCTATAATATTAATTGCTTTTAATATTAATAATAATTTTTATCTTGCCACATTATATGCACGTATGAATGATGATGTAATGTTCTAAGGACAATCTCTATTCCCTATAATAATGTACATGTATCTTTAACCAGTATTTTCCTTCATTCCTATTACAAACAACTATGATATAATTATTGATAATTTTAACTGAAGTAGATGTACAAACATGTTCTTGTGTTTGAACAAGATGTCCTGCTATGCATCAGTTTAGATAGAAAACTCAATTTTGATGCCTAGAAATAGATACCGGTACATCAGTAGAGCCATAGATCTATGGTAGAGCCTACAGCAGAAACAAAATTTATTTTAGGGGAGCTAACTTTTTAATGTTGAAACTTGCCACAGTAATAATAATTTAGAATTATACATGCATTTATTATCACCTTTTTGAATTTATCAACAAATGTCATGTAAATTCATTAGATCTAATGTAAATTCATGAAATTCAACGGTGTAGTTGATAGTTGATACTAAGAGCTAACAATCCTCAAAATTAATTTTGGGGGAGTATTGTCCCCCTTCCATATTTATGGGGCCCCCTCAGCAGGCGTGGTTGCTAAACTAAGTAGCCCATTGTGTGCATCTCATCATGCAAATTAGGCATGGGTTTTCTCTTCCTTTCTTCTCCTTTCTCCCTGCTATTGTCAGGAATAGTAGCTCCAAGAGTGATACGTTTTATCCAGCCAGACATGGAAGCTTTAGCCAAGCTCAACCAAACCTCTACAATCCTTTTATAGAGGACGCCTACCTCAGACATTACCTCTCCTACAAACTACCAAACGAGGTAACTGTAATTTAATTTAATTGAATGATTTTACTAAGAAATATATTGTAAATATGTAAGGAGGATGTACTATAAGTGTTGAAGGGTTGTCAGCAAATAACGTCACCAAATACATTATCGGTGTATGTATGTGTTTAGGTACGGAATGACGTTTTTAGAGACTTAGAATCATTTGGTGCACGAGTTTCCAGTGAAATCACCATTTTGGGACGGGAGGCTGAGATAAACCCACCCACTTTGCATCAGTATGATGGCTGGGGTATTCGTATTGATAAATTAGCTACCTCAGAGGCTTGGAGAAAACTACATGATATATCAGCAGAAGAAGGTCTTGTTGCCATTGGATATGATAGAAAGCACTCAGAATGGAGGTTCGTAAGATCACAATGAATGATATATACTGCATAGTTGGTAATTTTGGAGTGGTAAATTGTGGCAAGTTTATGATATTCATTTGCCAAAATACAACCTGTCATTTGGACCATTATGTGTATGGCCATATGCTCAATGGTATGCTCAAATTAAAACCCACCAATCACTAAAAATGTATTTCATTCAATAATAACTAGAAGAATGTAAAACATTAAGGGGCTCAGCCCCCAAGCCACACTATTGCTGTGCTGTATGACCTTCGTTGCTGGTAGAGAAGTTTTTGGATAGCAGTTTAGTCTTACCTTGCTGACCGTTTGCTGCAAATGAGCTCGGACTTGCTGATAACTGCCATTTTATTTCATGTGACCACACCCACTGTTAATGAAGATTAGGCTATTTAACTTTAATATTTGTATCCCCGTACAGATGCACTTTATCACTAAGGGCTTCACCCAATTATACTATGGTGTAGTCCCTGTCCTTGCATATTCCATACCGGTTGAAGCTTGGTGTGACTAGTGGATCATGTCAGGTCTCAACTATGTAATCTTCCATAAAGAAAAAGACTTTATCTACAACAGTTAAAGTCTGGCAATCAATTTGCAATTGCCAGTCACTAAATCTTAGTTTTTTTAATGTTTTTCATTCTTTACGATCAATTTCATTGCTGCTACATTGGAAGGAGAGGGGGGTGTCAAAACCAAATCTTTCACTTTGTACTCCAAATCAAATACCAACTGGTGTGTCAGCTTTAGGTGAACAAGATCTTTTTGATCATAGCATCCATTACCTTGTGCGTCGTTTCATGGAAAAGGTCATCATAAACTAAAAATCCATTCTCAGTCATTCTAGTCATGACAGAAAAGAACTATTCCTTGGTCCATTTTGCTTCTGACTCCAATAAACCATACCTTATTAAATGGTTCACAAAAATGTCAGAAACATCTTCGAACTCAGGAGCCTTGAACTATATGAATTAATCTTTATATATGAGGGTAGAGCATGCTGTTCCCAATATTTCAAACCTTCCTTTTTGTTTGGACAAGTGTCCAATGACGTGTGTTTTAAATCCATCTTCTCTGATGAACTTTGCCAACCACAAATAATAGAAGCTGTGACTGATGGCCAGTTCCACAGGAAAAGAGAATCTTGTTTAGTACACTTGACGAAAAACTCTAGAAGCTGTTGCAATTGACATTTGGTTGGCTTCATCAATGAAAAGAATAGGAAATTTTTGCCAGTCCAAAAGCTAAATTTTAGTATATTTTCCCAATAAAACTAAATATGGACTTAAGCTTTGATGATACACTCATATCATGTTTTTAAAGCTTGGTTGGGACTAATGTGGCATCTACAAAACTGGTTCAGACTTGGACACTATCAACAACAGGTGCCATCTTCCTCACTTTATCGTTCCCAATATTCTTTAGCTTCCTCTTTGGACAAGTGTCCAATGACATGTGTTTCAAATCTACCTGCTCCGATTAAGTTTGCCAACCACAAGTAATAGAAGCTGTCAATGCTGGCCAGTACCACAGGGAAAAGAGAATCTTGTTTAGTACACTTAAAGAAAAACTCTAGAAGTTATTGCAATGCATCCGTTTCCTTGGTACTTGTTAACAAATTTTGTTGGCTTCATCAATGAAAAGAATGGGAAATTTTTTACCATGAATTTTAGTATGTTTTTCACAATAAAACCTAATTTGCACTTAAGCTTTGATGATACACTTATATCATGTTTTTAAAGCTTGGCTGGGATTAATGTCGCATCAACAAAACTCGAACTTGAATACTATCAACAACGGATGATACTATCTCCTTCACTCTATTGTACCATAGAGCAAGAGATTACATTGAGGAAATTAGGAGCATCAGTAAAGGGAATTTCTTGCATCTCAATAGCAACATCAGAGCTTTTGCTGTTGGCCCCTCTTTCAATTTTCAAAAGAGTCGTCTTGCCACCATTGGGGGCCCCATGAACACATGTATTAGAGGCTTTGGATTCTTACCCAAGATCTCTAAATACTCATTTACTTCTCTCTCTCTTTTAAAAATATCCGTATAATATCTTGAACTACAACTGTGAGAAAAGTTGGCTGGGGTTATTCTAGAATGACTTGTGATGGTACGGTTAGCCGCCATGAGTGTCATGAAAAACTTTCCTTCGTTAAGTAAAGTAGTAGCCTGAAACAAGAAAATTATCAGTTTCCTATTGATAAACTATCTACTTCAGAGGCTTGGAAAAACTACAAGATATATCAGCAGAAGAAGGTCTAGTTGCCATTGGATATGATAGAAAGCACTCAGAATGGAGGTTGGTAATGGCATACTATATATGTAGCTTGTAATTTTGGAGAATTTTTTTGCAAGTTCAGGTTATGAAAGCTATTCGTCAAAATAAACCAGCCCTTTGGACCATTATGTGTATGGCCGTATGCTCAATGGTGTGCTCAAATTAAAACCCACCAATCACTAAAAATTTAGCACCCCTCTACAATTACCAGCCATGCGGTATTTTGATTGAAAAGTACTGAGGCACTGTTATTAATGTTAATTTGTAGTCGACTCCACCAGTTCAGCAAGTTATTCTTGTTCTCTCCTTCATCTGGTCTCTACTCTTGTCCTCTTGCTATGACTGATGGAGCAGCTAGACTAATTGAAGTAAGCAGGGAGTACACACAAATGCACATATACATGTATTTAATGCATAATACTTAATACTTCTTTTTATTGATCACTTTTCTGTAGCAATGTATATGTGTACATGAATGTAATAGGATTATTCTGACAACTACACTGTATACTGGTATGTGTATAATTTATTGCAATAGGTTATGAAGTTAAAAGATGCCATGGCTCCTACTTATAATAGACTCACTTCAAGGGATCCTAGCAGCTTCTGGACATCAGGACAATGGATGACAGAGAAAGGTGGTGGATCTGATGTTGGTAAGAAAAATCACTTCACTTTTCTCATTGTACATGTAGTGATGTCTTTGATATACAGTATTATTAGTCCTTTATTTTTATAGCTAGAGGGACTGCTTCTTATGCCCTCCTGGAAAATGGTGACAGGTATCGCCTACATGGTTATAAGTGGTTCAGTTCAGCCACTGATGCTGATATGGCATTTACATTAGCTCGTGTACAAGACGAATCTGGTCAAGTGACTGATGTAAGTACTTCAGTCTGAGAAAAGCATACACTCATTATGCTGTGAATTGATTATTATTTTATGATGTTAACACGTACAAGCAATACGTTTACATGTACATGTATGTGTATGCGTATTAAATGTCCTACATGCATATGTACATGTATATTAAGTGCATTAACCACAAGGTTTTATACTTTTGTATTCTATTATTAAATAAATTATTGAGCTTGCCTAGGGCACTGAAGGCATCTCATTATTTTATGTTGAAACAAGAGACAATCATGGATCGATGAATAACATTAGAATAGAGGTGAGCCATTTAGATTTACATGTAAATTAGTGATTGTAATAATAAAATTATTTATTTTACATTGTCTCCTTTACAGAGATTAAAGAACAAGCTAGGGACCCGTCAGTTACCAACAGCTGAATTGCTATTAGATGGAACATTGGCTCAACTGATTGGAGAGAAAGGGCGTGGGATATCACTTATATCACCAATGCTCCTTATAACTCGCTTGCATAACACAATATCAGCAGTAGCTAGTATGAGACGGTATGCTAATAATTTTTTAATATGCTAAAAATTATGTAACAATGAATGTATGTGTACATGTACATGTATTATCATTAATTAGTATGACCATTTATTAAAGCAAGAGTACTCTTTATAAAAGTGATATCTTAATTATTATTTTTGTTGTAGCATGCTTCTCCTGTCAAGAGATTATGCTACTAAGAGAAGAGCGTTTGGAAAGTTTTTGGTTGAGCACTCCTTACACATGAGGACACTGGCTGAACTAGAGGTATGTATAGACTAGAAAATGGGTGAAAACTGATGATATCCTGTCATGGCCAATTGGCTATGGTCTTTGGCCTAAATATGGAGCAAATAAAAAAATTTATAAAAAATCTAATTTGGATCGAAATAAGCTCAAAATTTCTACACAACATAAGTACATGTATGCATATTAGAAAAAATTATAAAAATGAAGTATTTTCTCCTAGTCATTTTTGACAAAATTTTGCTGATGACCCTGTACTACAGTACAGGGTCCTTGAGCCAATTTTGGAGCAACTTTAAAAATTCATGATAAATCTAATTTTGATCAGAATGAGTTCAAAATTTCTACACAACATAAGTGCATTTATATATTTCAAAAAAATTATAAAAATAGTCAACTTTCTCTTAGTGATTTTTGATGAAATTTGACCCGATGACCCTGTACTATAGTACAGGGTCTTTGGCCTAATTTTGGAGCAACTTTGAAAATTCATAAAAAATCCAATTTTGATCGGAATGAGTTCAAAATTTCTACACAACATAAGTGCATTTATATATTTCAAAAAAATTATAAAAATAGTCAACTTTCTCTTAGTGATTTTTGATGAAATTTGACCCGATGACCCTGTACTATAGTACAGGGTCTTTGGCCTAATTTTGGAGCAACTTTGAAAATTCATAAAAAATCCAATTTTGATCGAAATGAGTTCAAAATTTCTACACAACATAAGTGCATGTATATGCATTAGAAAATGTAATAAAAATGAAAATTTTTCTCTTAGCCATTTTTGACAAAATACCCTGTACTAAAGGCTGCAAAAGTCATGGCAGCCATTTTGTTTGGGGGTTAATCTTACTTAGTAACGCTACCGCGTTACTAATAGTCGATTATTTGTTACTATAGCTCAGTATGTTTGTACTGGCAGTTTATACACTTTTATTTGTATTTCATTTTCATAGTTAGAGACAAGAGGGTGTATGGTACTTGCTCTTGAGCTAACAGCACTACTGGGTAGAGAGGAGTGTGGTCAAGCAACTAAAGAAGAGATACATCTCCTCAGACTCTTCACTCCAGTAGCTAAACTTTACACTGCTAAAAAGGTATGTTTGTTTATATTACTTGAGTTTCTTCCTTGTCTTTTTCTCTCTGGTGATTTTTTATTTATCTGTATCATAATTCTATTTATCTGTATCATAATTCATTCTAAATAGTACATGTACTTGTTAATTAAGTTAAATAATAATTACATAAGTATTTGAAGCTTCTCAATAACTAATTGCAATCATGCTTTGCTTTGAGTTGATTTTTATCAAGTTATGAGCAATCAGAAAACATTTAATTATAGGCCAATGATCATGTAATATATATGTACTTTACCATATACGTGGTTTTTTTAGGGTTGCAAATTTCATGTATTCCTGCCTGATTCGTGAAAATCAGTTTAATACAGTACCCTCTTGGCACATGATAGAATTCACAAAATTAAAATCCGTGATTTGGAATTTTAGTAGATTTTGCAAAATATAATTCCCTCAAAAGAACACTTATATGGTATTATGCATTGTTTCTTGCTGTGTCCCACAGCAGAAGTGTTTACTGTATGTATAATGTTATTTGTCATTCTGATATTTGGCCCAAAAAATACACCCTACAATACTGATGCATATGGAACATTTGAGTCGATTCTAATTAAGATATTAAATAAATGTGTCCTTTGTATACTGACTGTCTTCCTATCTTTCATGCTTTCTAACTCACTTTGTCTCATTCCTTTACTTCAGGCAATGAGTGTGATGTCTGAAGGATTGGAGAGCTTTGGTGGTCAAGGATATATTGAAGACAATGGACTGCCTACATTATTCAGAGATGCTCAGGTAATATCTATTTATAACATGATATAATCAGAGATAATAGTCTTAATAATCTTATGGGATCAGAACTCCCATGGTTAAAAGTAGCAGTGTGATTATATGTTATCAATCATTTATATGTGTAGGTATTACCAATTTGGGAGGGAACCACTAACATTATGAGTCTTGATGTCCTACGAGCTTTACAGAAATCTAATGGAGAAGTCAGTATGATTCTCTCTTCCTCTCTACTGCAGTGTTCTTGATTTGTGTTGAGTGTATGTATAAATTACTTAATTTGTAGGTATTGGAGGCTCTTGTGTCTAAAGTGGATCGTGTCACTTGTAATCAGGAGAAGCTTCAGTTTTTGGGATTAGAAGCTGAGGCTGAACTCATTAAGAACTGGACCCAATCAGTGACACAGTTTTCTGAAGAGGGTGGAAATGTTATAGTGACAGCTGCAAGGGATTTTGCTATATCTCTAGGACAAGTATACACTGGTTAGTGAGATAGACAAAGCATTGACTGATGATCATATTAATGAATACTTCAGGTACTTTATTGCTGGAAAAAGCTTGTCACAGTTCGGCTAACATTTTAGACTTTGCTACTCTCAAGAGGTAACGGATATTTAACAAAGATTTTAATTATTATTATTGTCACACAGATGGTGCAAGAAAAGTATTCCACTGAGAAGAATAGAGCAGTATGATGATAACTCGTGCAGTTTAGACACCCATTTAGTAATGGATGGACATCGGTCAACATTAATTAGATAATAATTTTTATGTATATTAAAAAGGAACAATAAAAACAATAAGATATAAATGTATGACGAAAATTATGTAGGCCGTGTGTGTTAAAAAAACTTGTAAACAAAAATAAACACAATAATAGTCATAGCATTACTGGTTGTCATCTGGAATATAATCAATATCAGTTCCCTCTTCATAAACACTCTATAATAATAACACAATTATTAAAATTATAGTTATATTAGTTATATTTACCCCAAATCCAGTAATGCCAGTAATCACTTTGGTTAAGCCACTGTGTGCATAAAATAGTAGATATGCATGATAAAAAATAATTGACAATTGTGCTAACAAACCTCTTCACTTTATTGACCAATGCTTTGTCTCGTTTTGTAAGGAAAACACGCCAAGCAGTAGGAAATATATCAGGAGGAGGTTGTTTCTACACAATAACAATACTTTAATTATTTAATGGCAGTTGTGACTAACCCATTCGTTGGTCCATTGCTGTATACTACCATCAGTACTGATGTAGAACATTGATTGTCTTGAACTTAAATCATAACCAGATTTAATCGGCTAAATATAGGAACTATAATACTGAGTGAAATGACAAGTATTAGGCATACATCAACAATTATATCATCCACTTTAAGTTCTCCTTCAATTATTCCAGAATGTTTCATAACATCAGTTTTCTAAAAATTAACAAGACAGTTTTTACATAGGCCTTTCTGTAAAAGCTTACCAAATCTTGTAGAGTTCCTTTATAATGTCTCACATAACCAATAGGTATAAAAAATTTTGACCTGTCATAGCCATCAATCAATTTTTGCAGCTATATATAAAAAGAAATTACTGAACAGTTTATGCATCATTACAATGAACCTCTTCATCTTCAACTTGCTCCTTTATGACATTAAGGATTCCATCAGTGAGACGAAAGTAAGTATCCATGCTCTTTGCAGCATCAGCTAGTGATAGTTTCTTACTAATTTTACACAACAAAAATAGAATTCTATTCACACCCTGGGAGGACTCACCCATCAGCTCCCCTGACCAGTTTTGTTTCACCACATTTTTTTAATATTAGCATAATCCTATTATTTTAACAAAAACTTATAACTATAGCTACATGAATACACCATCATACATTGTAGCAACAGCTCTGTTCTTTTTGTGATAGTACAACTCTTTAAAGAGACTATGACGGACTGCAAATAGCTCAGTATATATCTTCAAATCCTATACATAATAATGTGAAATACTATCATCAAGTCACATTCTCACATGTTCTTCTGTGGCACAAATATGTCTTTTCCCATCAGGACACAACTTCACTTCAATTTTATTTAGGAAAGCTCTAACGAAATACAATCAATAGACAGCTACTACATAATATTTGCTTTACTTCCACTTGAAGTTGATATTTTTTCCCAAAATTGCTGCATCTCGCAGTGTACAGTCAAGCATATTGGCATCCAAGCCACTTATCCTGTTCACAACTATCTGTATACAAAAAATTAAAATAATTTTTAATATTTATTTTCTTGTACAAGTATACAATGTATTCAAAACACAAAAATGCCTGCTATATAGTATTAACACCATACCTCATACAGAAAAGTTTTGTCTTCATGCTGTGCCTGCACATAATTATAGTTAACAATTAAGGAAAAGGAAAGAAATATAAATCTACAACATACTGCTTGTGGTCCTTGGTTTCCTGTCATAAGCTCTTCAATGAATTCAATATCTTGCTCAGGGTCAGCTAAATGCTCATCCAGAGGCAGATTATTGTCTTCAATCATGAATTTAAGCATCATTTGAGAATAAGACTGTATTATTATGAAAAAATATTAGATTAATTCAAGCAATATCATACCTTTCCTGATCTTTCAGAAGTTTCTACTTCACGGAGGTAATCTTTAAAAACGTAAGAGAATGGCCCATGACCCAAGTTAAAGCAAAAAGCAGCTATTTGAACACATAAAACTTCGTTATCACTGATATTCAGCTCAGGCTGTCTCTTTTTAAATTGTTTTACAATTTTTCCAGCAATAAACCCCATTCTAAAACAAGAAAATAATCAGGAATGCAAATAAGCATTAATTACAGCATCAGGTACAAAGAGCACAAATAGTGTAAATATCACAGTAGAGTACATTCCTGAACAACACATTGCAACTTACTACATAAAACTATCACAAATTATCAAATGTATGATCATACTATAAATAATTACCGCCCATATTCAGACACACACACTGGGTTATTTTTGTGGATGATTTAAAAATCACAAAATCATACAGGTATGTAAGCGGTCAGCAATAACTGAAACTACTATAACCCTCAAATGGCTACTTTTTGTAATACAAAAATTTTGGATTTGAAAATGGTTTTAATTTGAACCCAACCCTGCAAATAATACTTTATTACTTACCCAATACTGTGCTCAAATCTTGAATAAGACTTTTGAAAAGTATAACCTGCATATATCATTAATATAGAGGTACAGTAACTGTTACTCTTTCTAAAGTTCACCTGACTGTTTGATGTCCTTTAGTCTTTGGAACTGACGTGTTTTCACAATCCTTATCAACAGTGCATTGTCAATTTCAATGTCACCATAAATATCATCATCAATCGACTACAATAAAAGTTTATGTAAAATACACAGGTTTTTTTTGAAAAAATACTTACAATTCGTTCTTTGGGGCTAAGTTTTTGTACACTTATTGTTGATATCTTCTCCTGTAAAGCTTCAATTTCTTTTTTACTTTCAGCCAATGAAATCTCTAATTCTAAAGAATTAGCAAAACTTGAAATTGTGTTACAGTAAATATAATGAGTTATAAATTGTACAGTACTAAAGTGGCATAAAATTTTCAGACATTATTACAAAGGCCACTCCAATAAAATAAAATAATAATAATAAATTATTTTTAAAATAAAG